GGGGCCGCGTAGGGAGGGAGGCGGCGACGGGGCCGCTAGGGGCGGCAACAGGGCCGCTAGGGGCGGCGACGGGGCTGCGTAGGGGCGGCGACGGGGCCGCCAGGGGCCGCGAGGGGCCTGGAATGGCGGCGACGTTGCCGCTAGGGGCCGCGAGGGGCCTGGAAGGGCGGCTACGGGGCCGCTAGGGGCGGCGACGGGGACGCTAAGGGTGGCGCGAGGGGCCGTGAGAGGGGCCTCTAAGAGAGCTCGACAGAAGGGCGGCCCACAAGGCGCGCCTCGGCAGGAGCGACTGGCGCTCCAGTCAGAAAAAAAAGTTTCAGTGGTGGGCCCAAGGAAGCGTTCCCACTAGGGAACCTGCTCTGATACCATGTGAAGAAATGAGGAATGAATGAACTAGCACAAGGTTTGGTACAAGTAGGAAACCCTAGGAAACTGTACCCCATAGTGTCTACCCCATTATAGCCTAGAGAAACTATATAATATGAGTTTGACAAATCCATCAGAGAAGAGGTGTATTGCATTCTCAACTTGTGTCAAACGTACGGTCTGTCGTCCGAGCTCCGTTGGAGACTTTCTGTGCACACTTCGTGTCTTCTGTATTGAACGGCTAAGATTTGCCAGAAAGAAACATTGACCGACCATTCTGAAATTCCAACTATGGGTTATCCACACACAGACTGAGTTAAAGCTCGCGGCCCAAATTGCGGGCCGCGCTGGGCAACCTTAGTAAGGTTGATTTATTGTTGTTTTGCAGGTGCTTGTTTTGCGAATTGAGGTTACGGGCTGTACGAAGGAAGTTGATTGGCTAGTCAATTTGAAACACTGAGCTGATTGGCTAGCAAAATTGAAACAGTGTTTGCAAAGGGGGTTGGGTGGGAAACTGGCAAGGATAGTATTTGTGCAATATGGGACTCATGCAACCAAACGCGAAGTGGCCCCTGGGGTCTACTGAGTCAGCGAAATGTGTTTGAGATTGGCGAGAAGTTGGGCAAAACCAAAGCCCTCAACCCACCCAACACCTCGACTAGCCAACCCTGCTCCGTCACCTCCCAACATGCAACTTTAGTAAAGTTGTACAATTTGGGCCCCGAGCTTTAAAGCCAGGGTCTCATGTACGGGTTGGCCGTGCAACTGCAAAGCACTTGGGCGAAAAGTGGGCTCTTTGGAGAGTCTCGATTTGTCAAAAGTTTGGCCCTAAATTTGTAACCCAATCAGACTGGCCCGTTTTTCATCGACTGCAAAGCACTTGGTCACTTGAGACCCTGGCTTTAAACGGGCGACCCTATGTAGAAAAGGCGGTTGATTTGATACAGTACATGTTCATGTTCACTGTAGTACAGAAATCCCCAAAAGCCTTGAAATTCCAAATTATACTTGAAACCTGAGCAGAGATGCATTTTTGCTATGTCTAACCTTGCAGTATAATGCTCGCTGTTGTAAGCTTGCTTTCCAATTCCCGTGTTTGGGCCTTCACTCGGTAATCCAACTTTCTGTACTGCCGGAAGTACAGTAACTGCTTCTGATCGTTCGAGATTTCATTTCGTATGGATTGCATTCAACTGCATTCTTGGCGTTATTGACCGAGCACAGTTGTCCATCTCACGATACAATGGCAAATTTTGTTAATCGCCGTGTGGTGCAATCTTTCATGGTTTACCCGAAATCGGGGTTGTTTAGGACTGTCTAGGTTTTAAGTAGGGGATGTTCGAGTCTCCTTACTTTTTTTTTTGGGTTGAATATGTCCACTAACACCGAGTGTGCGTAAACATATGCCAGTCGTAACTGAGCGTGAAAGGCTATTCCTTCAAGAAGGAACAACCTCAGGAGAAGCCTTCTAAGGCGGATGCAGAGCCCCTCTCGCAAGACTCCAAAGCGCGCCAAAATTCCTTGTCCACTTCCAACCTTTCACCGCCGTGCACCTGACACGTCCAAGGAGCTGGTCCTCCCATTCTGCCAGCGCATAGGCACTGCCTTGTCTTTTCGAGCCACTCGCCTTCCCCAGCTTCCTCCCCATAGCGCGGGTGTACACCTTCACATGCAGCCGAAATACCGCCTCAATGCGCCTGAGAACGCGTCGAGCCCTGAACCTCCGCTCCCCCTCGAGTCTCCTTACACGAGTCAGCGGGAAAACAAAAAAGACATGGTCGCAGCGAAAGATCCAGTCTATGGGTTGTGACCACTGGGTGCGGGTATCACGACATTGACACTATACGACAGATAGCCTCTAGTTCCTGGTTGTCTGATCCATAGAACCAAGAACGGTCAAGGGTGATATATAAGGACGTGTCTCAGCTCGCCTTTGATTGCCTCGATCAGACGCGATCAATAACTTCCAGGCAGGTTTGGAGGAGATTTCATGCAATCGGGGGCAATCACTTGATCGCGATCAGCTGATCGCCCCAACACGATCAATCGCCTAAAACAGCCCAATCAAACACAAACCCACACAATCACTAACGATCACTTGATTGCATTTGATTGGGGCACTAAGCGACGCTGGCGAATTGTTACATGATTCGACATGGACTCGTGAATTCGTCGTGAATACTATGCCGTCGCGAATCTGGAACTGCAGAATTTCTGGGCACTTGTTTTCGTGAAATTACAAGCAAACACTCAACTCGCTATATCCATGCCGAGGAGCTCGCAGTCGCCAAAGTGGGCCCGAAAGTGGTAGGAAAGGTTTGGACGATTGCCACGTAACCTTGTAAAAAATTCGAGGAAAAATTTGGCTGATCAGGCGGCGCGAGCTATTCAAACAAAGGCAACCCCATCAGATCAGCCCCGACCAGATCAGAGCCGACCAGAGGCGAACCGAGCACGTCCTAACGATGTGGCCCAGACCGCCTCTGATCGGCGCTGATCTGATCGGGGCGGATCTGATCGGGTTGCTTGTGATTGCATTGCTCGCGCCGCCCGATCAGCACTGAAATTCCTAGAAATTTTAAAGTTCCTGCCTCGCAAGCGTTTCAGCATTTCCTAACCCTTTCGTCCCAGTTTTGGCGAGAACGACGCGTAGCGAATTTTATGTTTCCATGTAATATCGCAAATTCCACTGTAGAAGATGCACGGACTGACGAGCTTAACGAGACACAGTAACTTCTTCGCGGGATTCGCCAAGATCCCCAATCCCATGCAATCAAGTGATCGTGACTGATTGTGTGTGATTGTGATTGATTGGGGTGTTTGAGGCGGTTGATCGAATTGGGGCGATCAATTGATCGCGATCAATTGATTGCCCCTGATTGCCTGAAATTGGCCTCGGGGCTTCCTGGAGTTGATTGATCGCCTCTGATCGGGGCGATCAGTGGCGGTTTGGGCCACGTCCTAACAACAGTTTTGGAGTGTGAAATCGGCGCGGGCCAGGTGCATGCTCTGCCCGCGTTGCAGCCACGCCGTGCAAGCAACCAGGATGTGGCGAGAAAGTGGGTCCAGTGGAGTGACGTGTGAAACAAACGACCCTGGCCTCACCGCACCGCAACCCACTAGCAGAAAAATCTTTCCGGTGGCGACGGCTGAAGTGGGCCGTGCTTTTTTTTTTTTCCTTGCCAGCGCGGACGCTAGAAGATATGCTCGAGCATAACCCTCCTAGATATAAATTTAGGGCGGGTCAAAAGAGTACGTCCGATTGCGGTTCATAAAGGTTAAGGCTTAATCCAGAGCGTTCTGTTTAGAAAACAAGATGGTTGGGTGGGGTTTTCTGCGAATACGTGCAAAGTTTGACCCGCCCTTATGCGAGAAGTGAAGAGAAAGTTCAGGCTAGACAACAGATTCCCCAGTTTACGAGTTCCACGCTCGTCGTTTCCAATCAAGCGAACGATCTGTGAATCTTGTCGAAAACCGCAGTTCTTTCTCAAGAGCAGCCTTGCACTTCCGTGGGTATTGGGAGGGTGTGAGAAGTTGGAGTCGGCTGGTGCTGCCACTGTTTTCCTAAAACTTTTTTTTTTTTAAGAGCCAGTCCAGAAGTGTTCCGGACTTCAGTGGATCTTTGAAAATACCAGCTGCAACGACTTGTGTATCTGCTCTAGGATAAGAAATTGGCTGGCATCTCAGGGCGTGTCTTTTTCGTTAATTTCGGGGTTTTTAGTGCCAACACACGTCTCGAGGTTCAAAAATATTCACTGTACCTAAAAACGAATGCATTGTGAGTTGAGTCTCACCTTCCTGTAATTCAGGAGCGCAGACACGTTCTCCGCCACACGAATCAACAGTGCTCTGATCGCGTTCGAAACGAGGTAACAGTTTTCATCGTCAATCATAGCCAACGAATTTTTGGGCAGGCGGGGGGGGGTGTTGGCGAGTGTAGCGAGCTACTGGCGAAATTGTGCAAGCGATACAAGGGGCACTACTGTAGTGGCCAGGACGCGGTGCTGTACCCTTGTTCGCGTCTCCGCTGATTCCAGTAACGTGAGTCAGACGACTCGAGGTACGTGCAGGGGGCGTGCCGTTTTGTGAACGAAAGCTGATTGTGTCCGCAGGACACGTTCAATACAGTGTTACAACAAAAAATGTGGTAACTGAGCGGGCTTACGAACAGTAAATGTACGAGCTGGACACCTCCTCAAGACTTGGGATTGCAATTGCTGGAGTTGCTGAGTTGCTGGAGTTGCTCAGTTGCTGTAGTTGCTGAGTCTGGAGTTGCTCAGTTGCTGGAGTGTGGTGTGCATTTTCACTCAGTCGTTGGCTCAGAATGATCTCCCCCAAAAGCAGAAACTCCAGTTCGACCTGACGTACCAGAAACTCCAGACTGACCTTACAAGAATGGTAGTGACATTGAATTTTCATGGAGTCCACACCGAGTGCACTCTCTTGTCTTGCACACTCTTTCTGACACTGACTAGAGATATGCACCGCCGAATCATAAGCTGATCCGCTGCTTGAAGTAGAAGCGCCGAGCGCCGCTCCCGCGTTGGTGATCGCCCGCGGGGGAGAAGACGGTAGCGGATCTGACACCATTGGTAGTACTCTACGACTAGCTGTCACTACCGTAGCAGCTGCTGATGACGCCGCTGAAATCTGCTCGAGGCGGAGGTTGGAGCAGCTTGAAGGAGAAGCAGGCGGGGGAAGGGGAGGATGACACGACAGGGGGGGTTCCAGCCGCTGGTTGCTCTTCGGTGCTATTCCAGGGTATTTGACAATGAAGATTGGTTGCTTTCAGACTTTGCTAGGAATTTGCGGATCAAATAGCTCGATCCAGCTCCGTCCACATCCTCGTCCGTCCTCTACAAAATTCAAACCGTCAAAACTTTGTTCAAAGAATGCCCCGGCAATGTTGAAAGTACTAGCAGGGAAAAACATTGTAAAAAATGCTACCCTCCAAGCATTGTTTCTAGTTACTGGAGCTATTGCTCGTGCAATGGTTAGTGCGCAAATATGGGGAAAACCGAGATTTGGGCATAGCATGTGGCGTTGTGAATTTTGTTGAGTCGTCCATCTCGCGCCTCAGGCGCCCCTCTTCTGCCGCCTGACCCTTATCTCTCACCTAGGATCGCAACCAGGGGATGGTTAGGGATCTCATGGCTTGTCACGCTGCTATGGTACTAGAAATCGCCGCGAAGCTGCTCTGCCGCTCACTCTCAGAAAACGCTGTTCCCACTTGCGAAGGGAGGCGTTTCATTTCACATCCCCCCTCCATCCCCTCCTCTCCCTGCATTTCACTTCTCCCCGCGCCTTCCACACCCCGGCTTTGGCCCAGTGTTGAATGGGGCGTTGTAGGGTAGCACGCAGCACAGCACAGCGGATAAGCCCCTCCCTCTCACCCTTCGCTTCCCCAGCGATAGTAACTGAGGGCCTCCTTCTACACGCCCCTCCCTCCCCATTCCATCCTTCCCATTCCCATCCCAGCGCCCCTGTTCACGGTGCTGGTGGTCGTGTGGGTGGCATGTGGCTGGCCGTGGCCGCACGGGTGGGCCGCTGAATCAGATCTCCCTTCTCTCTCAAACACTCCTTCGTTCTCTCTCTCCTCTCAAACGGTCCCCTCTCTCTCCCATCCCTCTCCCATCCCTCCCCATCCCCTCCCAGCGCCCTTGTTCACGGTGCTGGTGGTCGTGTGGGTAGCATGCGGCGCAGTGATCGCGGCTTGGCTGCTGTGCAGTCGGCACAAGCAGTACGAGCACCACAGGGAGGAATCGCTGGGCGTGTGGTGCAAGGAGCGCGCCCTCATGCTGCAGCAGCTCGTGCTGGCCCACGCGGTGCAGATGCAGGTAAGATTGGACTGCTCACTCGCAGTCTGGATTGGTATCAGCGTTCTTACCTGCAGCAGCATGGGAGCTGCCCTTTACTCTCCTCCTGCTCTTCCGCCCTCATGCTGCAGCAGCTCGTGCTTACACATGCGGGGAAGATGCAGGTAAGGCATGGGTGCTGCGCTTATGCTCTCATGCCCTCATGCATTCTTTGTTGTTACCAGCGGCATGTGTGTTCATGCCCGCACGCCTCATGATGCAGCAGCTCGTGCTTACACATGCCGGGAAGACCGGGGTTAGGCTGGATTGGTGCCAGCGTCCATACCTGCAGCACGGATGCGTGCTGCTCTCATGATCTCATGCCGTTATGCTGCAGCAGCTCGTGCTGGCCCACGCGGTGCTGATGCAGGTTCGGTTAGCTCCCTAATACTTAAGTAAAAGAGTCTCTCAAGCACTCACAGTTGTGGTGCTGGCCAGCTGGGACTGTGGTGGTGCTCAGAACAACACCGCACAGCACCGCACAGCACAGCACAGCACCACACCACACAGCACAGCACCACACAGCATGGCACAGCACAGCACATAACAGCACCGCACAGCACAGCATATAACAGCACCGCACAGCACAGCACAGCACAGCACCGCACAGCACAGCACAGCACAGCACAGCACAGGCGCACAGCACAGCACCGCACAGCACTCACTGCTGTGGCATGAGCTCAGAGGCTCTAACAGGCATCGTCCATCCATGCGTAAGCAATCCTGGGCAAACGCACGTATAGGAGCAATGCCTTTTTCTGTTCAGCCCTATGCTATTCACATCATGATCCCAATCCCCTCCCGTTCTCCAGACTCTGGCGGGGCTGATTTCGGTGATGGGAACGCCAGGGCGGGCGAGCAAGTGGGACATGGGCGGGTGTTTGAACGGCAGCATGTGGGTCTCTTATCTCACTCGCACCGCACAAACTCGCCCCGGAAACACGGGTGCGGTTGCGTGTGCGGTGGTACACGATGCAGAGAGGTGAGAGGGAAGGGAGGACTGAGACATCTCATTGATAAAGCGGTTACTGTGCGGTGATGTGGGATGCGATGCAGTGAGGTGAGAGGGGGGGGAGTACTGAGACTTGTCATCGTTAATGCGGTTACTCTGCGGTTGTGTGGGATGCAGTGAGGTGAGAGGGGAGGGAGGTAGGAATGGTGGAGTGGCGCGTAGAAGGCGGGGGGAATCGAGCGTGAGATTTTTGTGACCTATTTCCCCTGGTTTTGAGGTTAACCTTATCCCAATCTGCACTGCACCAGACCTACCTACAGCAGTAACGCTACTCAAACATAAGGATTGATGGTATGCGAGCGCAAAAGGGCTGACTGCAGCGACACAAATGACAAGTTTCTTTTCTTTCTCGCCTCCCCTTCTTACATGATCCCTCCCACCCACCCACGCACTTGCAGAGCGACTTTCGAGCGGCAGTATGGAAGCATCAGAGACAACACTCTGAACGTCAGCGCCCGCCGCCCCATGTACTGCCCCAAGAGTCTTGAGCTCACAACGCTCTTTGCCCGCCCCCCCCTTTCCCATCCTCCCCTCCCCCTACTTCCACACACATTGCTGCAGGGCGGACTTTGAGAAGCAGTATGGCAGCATCAGAGACAACACGCTGATTGTCAGCGCCCGCCGCCCCATCTACTGCGCCAAGGTCCTCGAGCTCACAACGCTGTGGGCCACCAACGGCCCCAGCAACATCGACATGTTTCAGCGATTCTCCTGGGCCATCCCGCTCGTGGAGGCGGGAAAACACTTCTATACCTGGCCCTACCCCCTCGCCAACCCCCTCACCCATGCCGGATTCGGTGAGTGGGTGAGGGTGTGTATGCGTGTGAGGGAGCGAGTGAGTGATCGAGGGAGTGAGGGAGGGAATGAGGGAGGGAGTGAGTGCTATTTAATAAATCATTACCTCTGTTGGTGGAAAAACTTCTCTCATGCACGATTCAATGAGGCGTCTTGGGTTTAGGCGTCTTGAATCGCCTAAACTCAAACCAATAGAGACAGCCGCGCGCATGGGTATGCATCTGTTCCGAATCGCTCCTCTTTCCTATCCCGTTTGTTGCTGTCCACCCTGCCCCAGGTATCGTGGTTCCTATCCTCCGCAGCCCCCCCACTAACAACTCGAAAAAGTCAACAGCAGAGGCAGGAGCAGTGTACGGGTCACTCGCTGCATCTGTTGACGTGACATACATTGCACAGAAAGTCCTAGAAGAGTTGTACGCGCCTGGTGAGTCCTAGAAGAGTTGTACGCGCCTGGTGAGTCCCAGAGATGTATATGTGACCTGCTACTGCCTTTTTTGTGCTCACATTCGCTTCTTAGCATGGGTAGAAGTTTCTCACATTTGCTCACATTTGCGTCTTAGCATGGGTAGAAGTTTCTGGTTTCTTCCTTTGTGCTTCTCTTCTCATCCCCTCTTCTATTTCATCCTCCCACCCCTCCCCCATGCAGACCCATACAAATCCGTTGAGCTATACGACATCACCGACCAACCTCTCTCTCTCCTTTCCAACCCTCCACCACTCCCTCCCCCCCACACAGACCCATCAAAGTCCTTTGAGCTATACGACATCACCGACCCAGCCTCGCTCTTCGCCATCGTCTCACCAGTCCCCCCCCACGCCTACTTCCGCCCCGACGACAAGCTCCCCTACATGCACCCCTCCCCAGAGTCCGAAACCCGCCCCTGGGAGCATCGAGCCGTGGTGCCTTTGGAGGAGATGGGAGGGGGGGTGAGAAAGTACGAGGTCTGGTGCAGGTGAGTGAGTGAGTGAGTGAGCCTTCTCGTGGGGTTGTGTGGGTGAGATTTTTTCAGGCCTTTTCCTGAGACTGCATGCTCTATAGCTTGACACTCTTGAAAGCACTATGTAAGATGACTTTTGAGTGACTTGAAAACCGTCTGGGTAGCTTGCAAATACAAGATCTGGTGGAGGCTCACTCTTGAATTGAGAGCATGGTGGGGTGGCCGAGGAAAGGCCTGGTGTTAATGGGGGCAAAGCCCATCTTCCCTCTCTTTCCGTGCCCTCGCTTATGAAATATTTACAGTAAACATCCACAGCCTTGTTACTCATGCTCATCCCATGCGATAGTTCCCCCATCCAGGCACACACAACCTCCAAGCACATGGCAACAGTGGGGCATCCCCATCCTCATCGCTCACTTCCAGTGCCCCTCATAGTAAACACCATTTGTGATCGACCTTCTTGTGCCCCACCCTCCATCCAGGCAAACACAGCCTCCCAACACACACATGGCAACAGAGGGGCATCCCGATCCTCATCGCCCTCTTCACACTCCACTTCGTGCACAGTAGAAACTATACGGCATGCCCTCCTCCTGTTGCTCCCGCCCTTCCAGGCACACACAGCCTCCCAACACATGGCAGCAGTGGGGCATCCCCATCCTCATTGCCCTCTTCGCCCTCCTTCTCGTGGTGCTCGTGTTGGCGGCCGCATACCTGCAGCGGAGCAAGTTCCTGCAGACCCAGCAGCAGACGGCAGAGGCGGATAGGCTGAGACGGGAGGCAGATGAAGCAGAGGCGTCAAAGAGCATGTTTGTGGCGTGCATGTCCCATGAGCTGCGGACGCCCATGGTTGGGATTATTGGTAAGAGTTTGACGGTACACTGTTGCATTCCTCCTGTTTTTGAGTGTACCGCACATGTCGCATGAGCTGCAGACGCCACCAGGCATGATTGACTCATCCCATCTTGCCGACCTGCTAATGGCCAGGGCATCAGCAAGAGATGCACTGCATCTGGTCAACTGTGTGTTTCTCTCAACTCCATACCTGCACCCTTCTGCTTCCCACCCACTCTGTCTCTCCATCCCACATCCCCCTTCCAGGCATGCTCGATGCTCTAGCAGACATGGGCCTCAACTCCTCCCAGCTAGCAGACCTGCTAATGGCCGGGGCATCGGCAAGAGATGCACTGCATCTGGTCAACCACGTGTTGGACCTGGCGAAGCTGGAGGCAGGCAAGGCGGTGGTGGATGAGACGGTGATTGATGTGCGGGAGTGGCTTCGTACAGTTTTGGACTGGCACGCGGAGGCAGCGAGTTCCAAAGGCATTGAATGTGAGTGGCTGATGATTGAATGTGTGTTGATGACTAGTGAGGAGTGTTAGAAAGGGAATGCACTGCGCCCTCCAAGGGGTGGCCTTTTTTGGTCAAGTAGAACGGCTAAACTCATGTAGAACGCGATGTGTTCGTGGCACAAGAACGTGTGTGGTCGAAACTCTTCCAACTCTTGCACAAGTAAACATTCTTTGGAGCTTATCAGCATTGTCTCTAGCGTTGTGTAACATCTTGAGCTGTCGCAGGGGCGCCGCTGTCACATTGTTCTTAACATGCCTTATGTGTCTCATTCCAATGGCATGTGTATGCCCAATGTACCATGCCATGCCCTCATTCTCACTTTCATACATTGGAAACTTTCACCCTAATTCCTCCCATGCAGTGAGCGGCATTGTGGGAGACGACTGCCCCACGCATGTCATTGTGGACCCCATGCATCTCGGAAGCATGGTCAAGGAGATCACAGGTGGGCTCAAATTTGAGGGTGGGGTGTGTTGAAATAACTGGATACACGATGTGTGCATGAGACGATAACTGCCCCTTGCATGTCATTGTGGAGCCCATGCACTTCAGCAACATGGCTAGGGAGCTCACAAAATGTTGTAGTAACAATAGACTCCAATGTGACTTCAGTGAAAGGCTGAGCGCAAAGACCGATCTCTGCAGCGGCTTCAATCAACATGATAGTGTTCCGATCACAGTCCTAAATGATGCGTTATAACTTGAATTTGGAGGGTCTTAATGTTTTCTACGATTAGAAAGTTGAATCACCTTGATTCCATAAAGAAAAGATAGTGTGTTAGTAGTTTGAACGAACGGCAGTATGGCAGCGATTATAATCATAGAGCACAACCTTCAAAAAAATATGGGCTGGAAATGACTCATAGCTTTTCAAACCACAAGGAAGTTCCGGGAAAATAGAGCAGCGTCACTCAAATTCACATACCACAAAGGCTCTAAGCCTTCACCATGAAATAATCCATGGAAGCTTGCTGCACACACGTGTGACATGCATTATGTGACGTTTGATACCCGACAGTTTAGAATACGCTCACGACTCACAAATGGTGACGTAACAAGCAATTAGCGAAGACTCGCTAACGTCTCAACACGCACGTTTGACTCGATCGTCATTCACACGCTCATGTAAGCATGCAGTACATGATGTTATGCTCGTATATCATGTCATTCCATGCAAACATTCGCACACTCACAAAGACGACAAGGAGAGTGCAAACCATGAGGTTGCACCCCAAGGTACACTACGACTGATGAAGGGGAGGCGGTTTTCTATGTGTGAAATATGTGAAGTGGGTGGGTTGTGTGACGGTAACTGCCTCACGCTTGTCATTGTGGACTAATGCATCTCGGCACCATGGTCAAGAAGATCACAGGTGCGCTCGCGGTTGAGAGTGGTGATGTGCGTTGGTGGGATGATATGTCGCGTCTGAACTCCATGCACCTCGGCACCATGGGCAAGGAGACCACAGGTGAGGTGAGCCCCAGGCTGAGGCTCTGCGTGAGTGGTGGGTGGGTTGATGGGGGCAGAAACCGCCCCACGCATGCCATTGTGGACCCTTTGCATCTGGGCAGCATGGTTAAGGAGATCACACGTGACCTGAAACCTGCTGCTTTATGAAGGATGACCCTCACGTGTTCCGCATCTGGTTACTTAACCACTTCAAGTTACCACTTCCGGTTACCAATTTCAGTTACCACTTCCTCGGTTGCGTTTCAGATAACGCGGTCAAGTTCACGACACAAGGCCGTGTGACAGTGCGGGTGTCGCTGGTGCCGCAAGGGACAAGCTTGCAAGACACCCTTTGTTACCAGGGTAAGGTTGTTGTGAGTGGTTGGCTGTAGCGTTGGTGGCGTTTCTTCATGCTCATGTTCAAGCTCATTCATGCTTGCTCGTGCTCATACACACTCTCTATCATCAAATCACCTTGCCTTGGCCCCACGTCAGTCTCTCATTCGTCAATCTCCCGCCCTCTCTTCCCCCACAGCTTTCCCTTCCCACCTCTCCACCCGCACTGCCTCCACCTCTCCACCCGCACTCACTTCTCCGCTCCACGGTTCTATGTATATCCCAGGCCCTTCATTTTCACGGCCCTCAAAGCTCGTCTTTCTCTCTCCACGTTTTACCCGTCCACACCAGGCCTTTCGTCACCACGAGCGCCCACTGCTGCCACTGCCCATGGGCTCTCCGCCTGGCTTTGTTCTACCTGGCGCTGGTTGCTCGAGGTGGTGAGGGGAGAGCCAGCGGCATCAGCAGGAACAGCAGGCAGTGCCTGGGGGGAGGGCGGGCATGAGAGGAAGCATGGGAGTCAAGAGAGGAGGCCCACTCCAAAAGCAGGCAGGGGGCGTGGGAAAGGGCATGGGAGTGGACAAGAGAGGGGTGGAGAGCGGTGCATGCTGGTGCTGTCGTGTCAAGACTCGGGCTGCGGCCTTCCAGCGTCTCTCCACACTGCGAGCGGCACTCAAGGGCCGTCCTACTTCTCCCTCCTCGTGAGCTTTCTACTTCTCTTTCCGACTCAACTCCGTGACTCCATGTTGAGACTTGATCTGCGGCTACCCTCCCGTACCCTCCCCTCCCCTCCCCTCCCCTCCCCTCCCCTCCTCTTTCCTCCTCTCCCTTCCTCTCCCTTCTCCTCCCCTCCCCTCCCCTTCTTTCCACGCCCCTCCCTTTGCATGCTCTTCCTTGCCCTTTCCTCCTCTTCCCTCCCCTCCCCTTCCCTCCCCTTCCCCCCTCGTTTCCCTCGCTCACTCGTCTTCTCTCATGGTTTTCCTCACACAGCTCCCCACTCTCTCACATTGTCTTCTCACACGCCCCATCTCTTCCTACCCTGCTGGTCTGGAAATGTTTAGATTTGAACAAGAACAGGCCCATGTCTCACACGCCCATCCCTCACACGCCCATTCCTCACACGCCCTGGTCGCCAACATTGTTTGTTCTCACTCACTTGTCACCTCGCTGATTCCATCTCTGCTGCATTTACGCACCCAGGAATCGCGGGAGCAAAGAGAAGCAAGAAGTGGGTCAGGGGCAGCACTGGGGCTCGTGTTGGTGCAGCAAACGGTGAGTCCCTCAAACACCTGCTCATGCTCTTCGGTTCTTTCAGATTGGAGTAACCATGATGTTTACAAGGCAAAGTAGACATTTCTGTTATTTTTTCACTCCAATCAGCACGGATTGAAGATCACGATGCTGCTGCCGTTGCTCTCTTTGGCAGATGCACGCTTTTCATCTCCCTCCTCCTTCCCACTCCCTCCAGGTGGCTCTATTGAAGGGAGAGCTCGCCTTTGACTCACAGCCCGGGTGTGGAAGCACAGTTGCTTTCTCTGTGCCTGTAGCCATGCCCTCGTTACAAGAACACTGTCCAGAGGAACTGCAGTCAAGCAACCAGGAACCACAGCAGCAGCAAGAGAAGGATCAACCACAAGGGGAAGCCGTATGGCATGGTGAAGGGCAAATGGGTGGGTCAGGAGAATTTTCAGGTGCCTGCAGCAGTGGCCATGAGCATGACACGGAGTCAGGAGATTATTCAGGTGCCAGCAGCAGATGGATGCTGCTGCACAGCCAGGGGAGTGATCAGGCGGTTCAACACAGCCAGAGCCATCAGCAGATTCAGCAAGAACAGCAGCAGCAGCAGCAGCAGCAGCAGCAGCAGCAGCAGCAGCAAGAGCAGCAAGAGCAGCAGAACCAACAACAGCAGCAGCAGAACCAGCAAGGGCAGCAGCAGCAGCAGCAGCAGCAGGGAGTGAGATCCTTTCAGCGAGGCCGGAGCGAGAGCGAGAAATCAAGTGTGTGCACAAGTGCGCGTGGGGGTGGGAGCGTGAGTGCAAGGTGTGAGCGATCCATCTCCCTGTGCGCATCTGGAACCACCACTGTTGCTACCGCTGGCATGGCCATGCGTGCAGGCATAGGTGTTGGTGCTGGTGCAGGTAATCGTGCTGGTAGTGTTCGTCTTGGTGGTGCGGCGGATGAGGCGGTGACGCGGGCGTGGGTGGGGGGGCTGCGAGTGCTGGTGGTGGACGACACGCCCGTCAACCTCCTCGTGGCCCGCCGCTCCCTCGCCCGCTGGGGCGCCCTTGTGACCACCGCCTCTCGTGGGGAGGAGGCAGTTGAGTTAATCACTGCTGGAGTGGCGGAGGGGAGAGGGCAGGAGGAGGGGAGAGGCGAACGTGCTGTTGGGGAGGTGGCAAGAGGAGAGCATGGGGCGAGAGGAGAGCAGGAGGCAAGAGGGCAGGAGGAGGCACGTGCATCGTTGCAGCATGGCTTCGACTTGGTTCTCATGGACCTGCAGATGCCGGGCATGGACGGGTGAGTGGTTGTGAGTGGCTGTGAATAATGGGCATGGCTGTGTGAGTCATGAATGTGCATACTAAACCTATTCCCAGTGCGACCTGGTTCATAGCAAACTTGATTCCCCTCTGCTTGATGTCCCTTTTGTTTCTTCCTCCTGTTCATCCCTTCCTCTGTTCATCCCTTCCTCTGTTCATCCCTTCCTCTGTTCATCCCTTCCTCTGTTCATCCCTTCCTGCTGTTCATCCCTTTCCCCTGTTACTCTTGCCATGCCAGCTTTGCAGCAGCAGCAGCCATACGAGCCCTTGAAAGGAGAGTGGAGTTTGAATCAATTTCACGGGCACAGCAATCGCAGCAGCAGAGGCTGCAGCACACCCCTTCTGATCTGCCCGTCACACCCCTACAATTTTCAAGCCCTGCTGCTGCAGCAGCCGCCGCCGCCGCTGCTGCTGCTTCTGCTGCTGCTGCTGCTGGTGCGGCTGGTGTTGCCGCAACTGCTGATGCTGCAACTGCTAATGCTGCTTCTCCTGGTGCTGGGTGGCCCGTGTCTCTGCGGGTGCCCATAGTGGCTCTGACGGCAGACGTGGATCGCGGAGTGGTGCAGAGGTGTGCAGAGGGGGGGTTTGACGGTGTGCTGCAGAAGCCAGTGGATGCCCACCTGCTCGCTGCCCAACTCTCCCAAGTGCACACCCAAAGCGCACTCCTGCGGGCTGTGTCACAGCCGACTGTCGGTCCAGCTATGAACAGATATGACAGCTGCAGCAGACAGTGACCAAGCAGTCAATAACAGTCGAGACAGCTCGTAACAAATACTACCTGATGGCCGCTGACGCCCACCCTAAACCTTAAACCCGAAACCCTAAACCCATTTCCAGAGATCACTACTGCGGGTCCTGTCGCACTCCACTGTCAGTCACGCCACAAACAGATACAGATACGACAGATGCAGCAGCAGCGAATTATTGTACGGCTTAAAACTCACTTAGGCGGGCTGCTTTTTAGCCCACAGCCAGCCAAGCTACTGACAGATCCTACCACAGGTGGGGAGGGTTATGGAGAGCGTTTGTAAGATCTAAGAGAGCTCACAAGTTCGCAACACCGTCCGGTTGTTTCACTATGCCGAAGACCACTACCACCCACCTCTGACACGTTCGGCACGTGCAGCAGCCAATGACTCAGCAGCATTCAACTCTTTGAACAACATTTTCAAATAAAACGCTCGGGTTGTTTCACTATGTCTGACGACTGCCCCAACCTCTGACACATACGGCACGTGCAGCAGCCAGGGTTGGTATTGGACGCCACAAGACTTGGTCAGGTGGCTTCACTGTACCTGATGCCCACTGAAACTACTGACAAATACCCAGGCATGCCAAATCCTGCTGCTACTGCACTGGCTGATCATGTGGTACCAGCTAGACAGATTGTGCTACCTGCATTTCTTTCATGGTTTGTAATCAATGGTCTTAACCGACGTGCTGTCTGCATGGTTTAGCACACCAAACAAATGCTTTACTTGAGCCTAGCGCTGTGCTATTCACTTACCGTACAGCCTGGATCTTGTTGGTCCTGTGCTGGACGCTGTTTAGCCTGAACTTGTGACCAAACTAGTCAGGTGAATTTCATGGATTTGTCATTTGCCGTGCCGATAACTCCCTGTGTACGCCACCGGCACATCAAATTTAAGTTATCCTACGAGTTGGCTAGTTAAAACCGAAATATGGAATAGTGAACCCCGTCCCAGCTTGAAAGGGTCTTCCAGAGTGGGTTTGCAAAGCACTGTTTCAAACATTTCGTGTGTGCAGATCGAAGCCATTTGATTGGCTCCCGCCAAAAACGAAATCTTTGGGCCTTACACAAGGAGTCGCCTTCAACATGATGCACCCGCACGACGGCTGCACGGCGATCATTGCGATCGTTGGGTCCAACTCCAACTTCAAGCTGGACCTGGGTTCCACTACTTCTTTCCGCTCTAGTCTCTAGTTTAGCCAAGCTTAGAATAGCTGAAAACGTAGGCATTTTTGCCTAGGCAACTACCATTTTTATAAATTTAATCCTCATCCTTCTATTCGTGGCCTAGTGGCGAGGAATCTTACGCGCCGCGTAGCGACACTTGCCTTGAGATTATTCGGCTGAACGCGCTCGCCGCCGAAACGCCCTTTCGTCGCCCTCTCTCTCGCCCCTCTCTTCCCGTCGCGCTCTCTCTATCCGCGCTCTTCCCGTCGCCTCCCTTCCCATCGCGCTCTCTCTCCCCCCTCCCTTCCCATCGCGCTCTCTCTCTCCGCTCCCTTCCCGTCGCCCTCTCTCCCGTCGCCCTCTCTCTCCCCCCTCCCCTCCCATCGCGCTCTCTCTCTCCGCTCCCTTCCCGTCGCCCTCTCTCCCGTCGCCCTCTCTCCCATCGCCCTCGCTCTCTCCTTCGCTCTGTCCCGTCGCCCTCTCTCCCGTCACCCTCTCTCCCGTCGCCCTCTCTCCCATCGCCCTCGCTCTCTCTTTTGCTCTGTCCCGTCGCCCTCTCCCCCGTCGCCCTCTCCCCCGTCGCCCTCTATCTCTCACGTCGCCCGCGCTCTGTCCCGTCGCCCACGCTCTCTCCCGTCGCCCCCGCTCTCTCCCGTCGCCTCGCGAAATTTTCTGCCGTCTCGTAGTAATATCGACCTTGCTATCCCCCTTTCCTGAAGCTCAAAGTATAAAGTGACGATACTTTTAGCTGCTGGCGGGGGCGGGGTTAATCACCTGACGCTAAATACTTATGCAGCCAACTAGTTCTTCTATGTTTTCTTATTATAATAATAGGGACCCTAATTTCGTACAGATTTACCTCCCCTCCCGTCGATCCCTTCAGGTCCTTGTTCCCGTTCCCTTGCTCTCTCCCCTCCTTTTCTACCGCCCTTGGTCTCTCCCCTCCATTTCCGTCGCCCGTGCTCTCTCCCCTCTGTTCCCGTCGCCCTCGCGTTCTCTCCCTCCCTTTCCATTGCCCTCGCTCTCTTCCCTCCCCATCCGTCTCCCTTGCTCTCTCCCCTCCCTTTCCATCGCCCTCGCTCCACCTCATCTGACCCTCCCCCATGCCCCTCCCATCTCCCTACCATTCCGCAGATTTTGCTCACGCATCTCTCTTCCCGCGTCCTCGTTTCTGCTGCACTAAGTGTCTCTTCTCTCGTGCCCTGAAATTCTCTGTTTTTTTCGCTTCTTGTTTTCCCCATATTGTTATCGCCTCCCTTGCAGGCCCATGTCTAAGGCATTTGCTTTGCGTGCGTTGGGCTTGCTTTGCATGAGTTGGACGTGCTTCACAATCCGAATTTGGCACTGGATATGAATGAGACTTGCGCATCGCAATGTTTTGAGCGACGCATTTGCACATGCTTGCGACGATTTTGTTTGAGTTGAAGTTTGGAAACTCGATCAGCATCATATGCGCTTGGAAAAAAAAAATAAAGAAAAGCACTTCAACTTTCAAGTGGACCCAACTAGAAGGGGGGGGTCACTATTTTAGCTGCTGGCTTTAAAGCATTCCATAGAAATCTAAACTGCAATCAACACCAGTGTGCACCAATCCTGCTGTGCATGCAATGCAACTGCTCCACCTCGTAACCCTCTTGTTCCGGCCTAGGGCTTTACCATACATCATCATCATCGCATTCACATACTCATACACCACCCAGTCCTCCTCACCAGCCGCATCTGCGCCATGACCTGCTGCTGCATCATTCGTGGCGAATGTATGCATCCTCCTCACTGTCAACAGGACCTCCACTCCATCGTGAGCATTTTTTGTCACCCTCTCCACTCGCGCCTTCAGTTGCTGCCTTGTAGATCGCATTCACTTCATCTTCCACCACGATGGACATTCTCCTCTGCCTCGTCAGCTGCTTTCAGCGGGCCAGTTGGGTCACCTCGCCACCACCTGTTCAGCCAGCGCAATGCCTGCAGGGTCTGGCATGTCTATGGTACCAGTCAGCAGTCAGCTCAGGGTTACAGTAGGGTTACAATAGGGTTACGTATCTGTTGTAAAGCACATGGAAGCATTTTGAGAGTCATGGAGGCACATGGCTTCGAGTCGTGAAAACATCACCGGCTGCTTCACGTGCCATTTGTGTCAGTTGTGGGAGTGTGGGAGTGGTCAGGGGATGTAATGAAACAACCTGAGTGGATCTTTGAGTCGACTCAATAAACATCACCAGCAGCTGCATGTGCCGTGTGTCAGTAGTGGGAGTGTGGGAGTGGTTTGAAGATGTGGTCAAACAACCCGAGTGGATTATCAAGTCGAGTCTAAGGGCGTGTTCCTACGTTCTTATCAGGCAAACCTCTTGTCAGCCTTGCCTGGTAAAAGTAGCGAGGGTTTTGGGTTTAGGGAATTTTCAGGGGGAAAAGTAGCGAGCTTGATAAGAGGTTGCCCTGATAAGGGGCCGTAGGAACACGCCCTAAAACATCACTGGCAGCTTCACGTGCCGTATGTGTGTGTCAGTACTGGGAGTGTGTGAGTGTGGGACTGCTGTGAAGATGTAGTAGTGAAACAACCCAAAGCGTTATGTGAGCTTTCCTGAATACTATCGACTGCCGGATTACTGACTGCCGGATTATTGGCCGCCGGATTATTGACTGCTGGATTATTGACTGCCGGATTGTTGACTGCTGGATTATTGACTGCCGGATTGTTTGACTGCCAGATTATTGTCTGCCGGATTATTGACTGCCGGATTATTGACTGCCGGATTATTGACTGCCGGATTATTGACTGCCAGATTATTGACTGCCGGATTATTGACTGCCAGATTACTGACTGCTGCATCTGTCGTGTCTGTTTATGGTTCGACTGACAGTAGGGTGTGACACGCCCCCGTGGGAAAGACCTTTGGAACTGCATTTGGGAGAGGTGGCTTTTCAGTCAACACTTTCAAATATCATTGACTGCTGCACCTGTCGTGCCTGTTTATGGTTCGACTAACAGCGGGGTGTGACACGGCCCGGGGGAAGGACCTCTGGGGGTGCATTTGGGAGAGATGGGCGGCGAGCAGGTGGGCATCCACTGGCTTCTGCAGCACACCGTCAAACCCCCCCTCTGCACACCTCTGCACCACTCCGCGATCCACGTCTGCTGTCAGAGCCACTATGGGCAGCCGCAGAGACATGGGCTGAGCAGCAGGAGCAGTTGCACTTGCCACTATGGGAACCCGCAGAGATATGGGCCAGCCAACAGTGGCAGCAGCAGGATTTGAAGCTTCTAGGAGAGGGACAGGCAGAACAGAAGGGGCTTGATGATGCATCGGCTGCTGCAATCGCTGTGCCCGTGAAATGGCTTCAAAATTGACCCTCCTTTCAAGGGATCGTATGGCTGCTGCTGCTGCGAAGCTGCCACGGCAAGGAGGGAAGGCATGGAGGGGAGGAACAGGAGAGACATCAAGGGAGAAGGATTAGGTTCAATGCCCCACCCTCCTCTCAAGGGATTGTATGGCTGCTGCTTTGAACTGCCACGGCAAGGAGGCAACAGGAACCGGAATGGAGGAAGCAGGAACGGAATGGAAGGGAGGAACAGGGGGAAGAGAGGAGCAGATTGGGCAATAGGGGGAGGGGGGTTAGGCTTGCAACAGACCAGGTTCATATCGGGCAAGTGTTACGTACTCACGTTCCTGAGTCACCAACATTCACAACCCACCCATCCATGCCCACCACTCACCACCACTCACAACCACTCACCCGTCCATGCCTGGCATCTGCAGGTCCATGAGAACCAAGTCGAAGCCATGCTGCAATGATAACACACCCGTCTCCTCCTGCCCTTTTGCCTCCTCCTCCCCTCTCGCCTCCTCCTGCCTCCTCGCCTCTTGCTGCCCTCTCGCCTCCTGCAGCCCTTTCCCCTCCTCCCCAAGTGTTTCCTCCCCTCTCTCCTCCTCCTCGTGGAAGGCGGTGGAGACGAGGTCAGCAGTGATCAACTCAATCGCCTCCTCCCCGTGGGCGGCAGTGGTGACTCGGGCGCCCCAGCGGGCGAGGGAGCGGCGGGCCACGAGGAGGTTGACGGGCGTGTCGTCCACCACCAGCACTCGCAGCCCGCCCACCCACGCCCGCGTCACCGCCTCATCCGCCGCACCACCAGCAGCAGAAGCACCAGCACCAGCTGCACCTATGCCTGCATGCATGCCCATGCAAGCAGCAATAGTGGTGGTTGCAGATGCACACAGTGAGACCGACTGCTCGTACCTCACACTCACACGACCACTACCAACCACACTGACACTCGATTTCTCGCTCTCTCTCTCTGGCCTTCCTGAAAGGGTCTCACTCCCTGTTTCTGCTGTTGGTTCTGCAGGTGGCTCTGGTTTTGTTGGGCCACCTGAATCCTGATCGCTCGCTTGGCTGTGCAGCTGCAGGCATCTGCTACAGGAATCTGAACAATCTCCTGAATCTGTCTCATGCTCATGGAAACTGCTGGAGGCACCTGAAAAATTACCTGACCCACTCATTTGCCTCTCACCATGCCATATGGCCTTCCCCTGATGCTGCTGCTGCTGCTGCTGCTGCTGCTGCTGTTCATGCTGCTGTGGTTCCTGATTGCTTGACTTCGGCTCTTTTGCACAGTGTTCTTGTAACGAGGGCACAGCTACAGGCACAGAGAAAGTAACTGTGCTGCCACACCCAGGCTGTGAGTCAAAGGCGAGCTCTCCCTTCATGAAAGTCACCTGGGGGTGAGTGGGGAGGAGGAGGGAGATGAAAAAGCGTGCTATTGTAATTCATGTAGATAGGAGCCGGAGCTCGGATTGAGAAGCAGCCGCTGTGGCAGCAGCAGCAGCGTCGCCGACAGCGGCAGCAGCAGCAGCAGCAGCAGCAGCAGCAGCAGCAGCAGCAGCAGCAGCAGCAGCAGCAGCAGCAGCAGCAGCAGCAGCAGCAGCAGCAGCAGCAGCAGCAGCAGCAGCAGCAGCAGCAGCAGCAGCAGCAGCAGCAGCAGCAACTCGGAGTCGGTAATGCACTGAGAATGAGGAATGAAGAGGTGTTGGAGGGACTCACCGTTTGCTGCACCAACACGAGCCTGAGGGCTGCCACGGATCTGTGCTCATGAAGAAGGGCAGCAGTAGGCAAGGTCGCCTTTAGCAAAGGGACGATAGTCAAACAGTGAAAAAAAGTAACCCTCGAAAAAAGTTGATTAAGATCCGAACGTACAACTCAGTTCAAACTCTAGACGAAAGCAAACATGTTTCGGCTTTGCACGGGGATCATACCCGCTAGACCTTCATCAGTGCAAGAGTTCAAAGTGAAAGAGCGAACAAGCAAGGGGTCTTAAAGAACACCCAAGCTTCGAGATCTACACAGGGAAATCCTACCCCGGGCGCGTAACTAGATAAGAAATGCGCCAACTAGACACAAAAGAAAATTCCTAGGTGTCCAGTCACTCTTCGGGTTTGTCTTCGGCAGTCTTGGAATTGGGTGGTGGTAACCTCGCGCGAACCAGGCACTGTTGCACGTTACGTGCACACTTCCAAGCAACAAGAATTCGATCAATATAAAAATTGCGGGTAGAGAGACGACTTTTGAGGCGCCTCAAAAGTTTTGAGACGCCTCAAAAGTCGGAAATACACTGAGAATGAGGAATGAAGAGGTGTTGGAGGGACTCACCGTTTGCTGCACCAACACGAGCCTGAGGGCTGCCCCTGACCCACTCCTCTTCCTCTCTTTGTCTTTGAGACGCCTCAAACATTGGACTTGGTATCAAAGTGTAAGTGACTATTGAAGTTCGATCAACTCACTGTTTGGTGCACCAACACGAGGCCGAGGGCTGCTCCTGAACCACTCCTCTCTTCCCTTTGCTCCCGCGATTCCTGGAAGAGTCAAGAAAACAAAATGGGATCGGAGTGTGAAAGAGCGTGAGAATGACACTTGTTGAACATTACACTTGTGAGAGATGGGTGAGATGGACGAGCAGGGTGGGAAGAGATGGAACGTGTGAGAAAAGAGTGTGAGAGTGTGCGGGAATGTGTGAGGGATTGCATGAGAGGAAAGGAACAAGAGAGGGAGCTGGACGGGGGGACGGGAAGGGAAGATTCGGAAACAGGAGGGAAGGGGAGGGGAGGGGAAAAAAGGCGAGGGTAGGGGAGGGGAGGGGACGGAAGGGGAAGAGAGGGAAGATGCTTCTGGAAGGAATGAGGAAGCGAGGGAGGGTGGGAGATGGAGACGACAAAGGGGAGAAGGGGGGGAGGAGAAGATGGAGTGGCAGGTGGGGTTCCCGCAGAGGAGGCAATGTGACAACACGAGAGAGAATAAAGGATGAAGAATTCCGTGAGATGCTGCCCGTGAGATGATGAACCAATGAGATGAAGAACCAATGAGATGATGAACCAATGAGATGAAGAACCAATGAGATGAAGAACCAATGAGATGAAGAACCAATGAGATGAAGAACCAATGAGATGAAGAACCAATGAGATGAAGAACCAATGAGATGATGCCTTTCACCCGTTTGTAAAGCAACACTGCCTGCGGGCTTGTAAGCCCAGAAAGGCAGCATTTGAGTCCCACCACGCCAAGCGGACCCCGCAGCTGCCACCAGGGACGCTGGAAAAAGAACAAGGCTCACCAGCAGGGACGCTGGAAGAAGAACAAGGCTCACCAGCAGGGACGCTGGAAGAAGAACAAGGCTCACCAGCAGGGACGCTGGAAGAAGAACAAGGCTCACCAGCAGGGACGCTGGAAGAAGAACAGGGCTCACCAGCAGGGACGCTGGAAGAAGAACAAGGCTCACCAGCAGGGACGCTGGAAGAAGAACAAGGCTCACCAGCAGGGACGCTGGAAGAAGAACAAGGCTCACCAGCAGGGACGCTGGAAGAAGAACAAGGCTCACCAGCAGGGACGCTGGAAGAAGAACAAGGCTCACCAGCAGGGACGCTGGAAGAAGAACAAGGCTCACCAGCAGGGACGCTGGAAGAAGAACAAGGCTCACCAGCAGGGACGCTGGAAGAAGAACAAGGCTCACCAGCAGGGACGCTGGAAGAAGAACAAGGCTCACCAGCAGGGACGCTGGAAGAAGAACAAGGCTCACGAGCAGGGACGCTGGAAGAAGAACAAGGCTCACCAGCAGGGACGCTGGAAGAAGAACAAGGCTCACCAGCAGGGACGCTGGAAGAAGAACAAGGCTCACCAGCAGGGACGCTGGAAGAAGAACAAGGCTAACGAGCAGGGACGCTGGAAGAAGAACAAGGCGCTCACCAGCAGGGACGCTGGAAGAAGAACAAGGCTCACCAGCAGGGACGCTGGAAGAAGAACAAGGCTCACCAGCAGGGACGCTGGAAGAAGAACAAGGCTCACGAGCAGGGTCGCTGGAAGAAGAACAAGGCTCACCAGCAGGGACGCTGGAAGAAGAACAAGGCTCACCAGCAGGGACGCTGGAAGAAGAACAAGGCTCACCAGCAGGGACGCTGGAAGAAAAACAAGGCTCACCAGCAGGGACGCTGGAAGAAGAACAAGGCTCACGAGCAGGGTCGCTGGAAGAAGAACAAGGCTCACCAGCAGGGACGCTGGAAGAAGAACAAGGCTCACCAGCAGGGACGCTGGAAGAAGAACAAGGCTCACCAGCAGGGACGCTGGAAGAAGAACAAGGCTCACCAGCAGGGACGCTGGAAGAAGAACAGGGCTCACCAGCAGGGACGCTGGAAGAAGAACAAGGCTCACGAGCAGGGACGCTGGAAGAAGAACAAGGCTCACCAGCAGGGACGCTGGAAGAAGAACAAGGCTCACCAGCAGGGACGCTGGAAGAAGAACAAGGCTCACGAGCAGGGACGCTGGAAGAAGAACAAGGCTCACCAGCAGGGACGCTGGAAGAAGAACAAGGCTCACCAGCAGGGACGCTGGAAGAAGAACAAGGCTCACCAGCAGGGACGCTGGAAGAAGAACAAGGCTCACCAGCAGGGACGCTGGAAGAAGAACAAGGCACACCAGCAGGAACGCTGGAAGAAGAACAAGGCTCACCAGCAGGGACGCTGGAAGAAGAACAAGGCTCACCAGCAGGGACGCTGGAAGAAGAACAAGGCTCACCAGCAGGCACGCTGGAAGAAGAACAAGGCTCACCAGCAGGGACGCTGGAAGAAGAACAAGGCTCACCAGCAGGGACGCTGGAAGAAGAACAAGGCTCACGAGCAGGGACGCTGGAGGAAGAACAAGGCTCACCAGCAGGGACGCTGGAAGAAGAACAAGGCTCACCAGCAGGCACGCTGGAAGAAGAACAAGGCTCACCAGCAGGGACGCTGGAAGAAGAACAAGGCTCACCAGCAGGGACGCTGGAAGAAGAACAAGGCTCACCAGCAGGGACGCTGGAAGAAGAACAAGGCTCACGAGCAGGGTCGCTGGAAGAAGAACAAGGCTCACCAGCAGGGACGCTGGAAGAAGAACAAGGCTCACCAGCAGGGACGCTGGAAGAAGAACAAGGCTCACCAGCAGGGACGCTGGAAGAAAAACAAGGCTCACCAGCAGGGACGCTGGAAGAAGAACAAGGCTCACGAGCAGGGTCGCTGGAAGAAGAACAAGGCACACCAGCAGGGACGCTGGAAGAAGAACAAGGCTCACCAGCAGGGACGCTGGAAGAAGAACAAGGCTCACCAGCAGGGACGCTGGAAGAAGAACAAGGCTCACCAGCAGGGACGCTGGAAGAAGAACAAGGCTCACCAGCAGGGACGCTGGAAGAAGAACAAGGCTCACCAGCAGGGACGCTGGAAGAAGAACAAGGCTCACCAGCAGGGACGCTGGAAGAAGAACAAGGCTCACGAGCAGGGACGCTGGAAGAAGAACAAGGCTCACCAGCAGGGACGCTGGAAGAAGAACAAGGCTCACCAGCAGGGACGCTGGAAGAAGAACAAGGCTCACCAGCAGGGACGCTGGAAGAAGAACAAGGCTAACGAGCAGGGACGCTGGAAGAAGAACAAGGCTCACCAGCAGGGACGCTGGAAGAAGAACAAGGCTCACCAGCAGGGACGCTGGAAGAAGAACAAGGCTCACCAGCAGGGACGCTGGAAGAAGAACAAGGCTCACGAGCAGGGTCGCTGGAAGAAGAACAAGGCTCACCAGCAGGGACGCTGGAAGAAGAACAAGGCTCACCAGCAGGGACGCTGGAAGAAGAACAAGGCTCACCAGCAGGGACGCTGGAAGAAAAACAAGGCTCACCAGCAGGGACGCTGGAAGAAGAACAAGGCTCACGAGCAGGGTCGCTGGAAGAAGAACAAGGCACACCAGCAGGGACGCTGGAAGAAGAACAAGGCTCACCAGCAGGGACGCTGGAAGAAGAACAAGGCTCACCAGCAGGGACGCTGGAAGAAGAACAAGGCTCACCAGCAGGGACGCTGGAAGAAGAACAAGGCTCACCAGCAGGGACGCTGGAAGAAGAACAAGGCTCACCAGCAGGGACGCTGGAAGAAGAACAAGGCTCACCAGCAGGGACGCTGGAAGAAGAACAAGGCTCACGAGCAGGGAAGCTGGAAGAAGAACAAGGCTCACCAGCAGGGACGCTGGAAGAAGAACAAGGCTCACCAGCAGGGACGCTGGAAGAAGAACAAGGCTCACCAGCAGGGACGCTGGAAGAAGAACAAGGCTCACCAGCAGGCACGCTGGAAGAAGAACAAGGCTCACCAGCAGGGACGCTGGAAGAAGAACAAGGCTCACCAGCAGGGACGCTGGAAGAAGAACAAGGCTCACCAGCAGGGACGCTGGAAGAAGAACAAGGCTCACGAGCAGGGTCGCTGGAAGAAGAACAAGGCTCACCAGCAGGGACGCTGGAAGAAGAACAAGGCTCACCAGCAGGGACGCTGGAAGAAGAACAAGGCTCACCAGCAGGGACGCTGGAAGAAGAACAAGGCTCACGAGCAGGGTCGCTGGAAGAAGAACAAGGCTCACCAGCAGGGACGCTGGAAGAAGAACAAGGCTCACGAGCAGGGACGCTGGAAGAAGAACAAGGCTCACCAGCAGGGACGCTGGAAGAAGAACAAGGCTCACCAGCAGGGACGCTGGAAGAAGAACAAGGCTCACCAGCAGGGACGCTGGAAGAAGAACAAGGCTCACCAGCAGGCACGCTGGAAGAAGAACAAGGCTCACCAGCAGGGACGCTGGAAGAAGAACAAGGCTCACCAGCAGGGACGCTGGAAGAAGAACAAGGCTCACCAGCAGGGACGCTGGAAGAAGAACAAGGCTCACGAGCAGGGTCGCTGGAAGAAGAACAAGGCTCACCAGCAGGGACGCTGGAAGAAGAACAAGGCTCACCAGTTGGGATGCTGGAAGAAGAACAAGGCTCACCAGCAGGGACGCTGGAAGAAAAACAAGGCTCACCAGCAGGGACGCTGGAAGAAGAACAAGGCTCACCAGCAGGGACGCTGGAAGAAGAACAAGGCTCACCAGCAGGGACGCTGGAAGAAGAACAAGGCTCACCAGCAGGGACGCTGGAAGAAGAACAGGGCTCACCAGCAGGGACGCTGGAAGAAGAACAAGGCTCACGAGCAGGGACGCTGGAAGAAGAACAAGGCTCACCAGCAGGGACGCTGGAAGAAGAACAAGGCTCACCAGCAGGGACGCTGGAAGAAGAACAAGGCTCACGAGCAGGGACGCTGGAAGAAGAACAAGGCTCACCAGCAGGGACGCTGGAAGAAGAACAAGGCTCACCAGCAGGGACGCTGGAAGAAGAACAAGGCTCACCAGCAGGGACGCTGGAAGAAGAACAAGGCTCACCAGCAGGGACGCTGGAAGAAGAACAAGGCTCACCAGCAGGGACGCTGGAAGAAGAACAAGGCTCACCAGCAGGGACGCTGGAAGAAGAACAAGGCTCACCAGCAGGGACGCTGGAAGAAGAACAAGGCTCACCAGCAGGGACGCTGGAAGAAGAACAAGGCTCACCAGCAGGGACGCTGGAAGAAGAACAAGGCTCACGAGCAGGGACGCTGGAAGAAGAACAAGGCTCGCTCACCAGCAGGGACACTGGAAGAAGAACAAGGCTCACGAGCAGGGACGCTGGAAGAAGAACAAGGCTCACCAGCAGGGACGCTGGAAGAAGGACAAGGCTCACCAGCAGGCACGCTGGAAGAAGAACAAGGCTCACCAGCAGGGACGCTGGAAGAAGAACAAGGCTAACGAGCAGGGACGCTGGAAGAAGAACAAGGCTCACCAGCAGGCACGCTGGAAGAAGAACAAGGCTCACCAGCAGGGACGCTGGAAGAAGAACAAGGCTCACCAGCAGGGACGCTGGAAGAAGAACAAGGCTCACGAGCAGGGTCGCTGGAAGAAGAGCAAGGCTCACCAGCAGGGACGCTGGAAGAAGAACAAGGCTCACCAGCAGGGACGCTGGAAGAAGAACAAGGCTCACCAGCAGGGACGCTGGAAGAAAAACAAGGCTCACCAGCAGGGACGCTGGAAGAAGAACAAGGCTCACGAGCAGGGTCGCTGGAAGAAGAACAAGGCACACCAGCAGGAACGCTGGAAGAAGAACAAGGCTCACCAGCAGGGACGCTGGAAGAAGAACAAGGCTCACCAGCAGGGACGCTGGAAGAAGAACAAGGCTCACCAGCAGGCACGCTGGAAGAAGAACAAGGCTCACCAGCAGGGACGCTGGAAGAAGAACAAGGCTCACCAGCAGGGACGCTGGAAGAAGAACAAGGCTCACGAGCAGGGACGCTGGAAGAAGAACAAGGCTCACCAGCAGGGACGCTGGAAGAAGAACAAGGCTCACCAGCAGGCACGCTGGAAGAAGAACAAGGCTCACCAGCAGGGACGCTGGAAGAAGAACAAGGCTCACCAGCAGGGACGCTGGAAGAAGAACAAGGCTCACCAGCAGGGACGCTGGAAGAAGAACAAGGCTCACGAGCAGGGTCGCTGGAAGAAGAACAAGGCTCACCAGCAGGGACGCTGGAAGAAGAACAAGGCTCACCAGCAGGGACGCTGGAAGAAGAACAAGGCTCACCAGCAGGGACGCTGGAAGAAAAACAAGGCTCACCAGCAGGGACGCTGGAAGAAGAACAAGGCTCACGAGCAGGGTCGCTGGAAGAAGAACAAGGCACACCAGCAGGGACGCTGGAAGAAGAACAAGGCTCACCAGCAGGGACGCTGGAAGAAGAACAAGGCTCATCAGCAGGGACGCTGGAAGAAGAACAAGGCTCACCAGCAGGGACGCTGGAAGAAGAACAAGGCTCACCAGCAGGGACGCTGGAAGAAGAACAAGGCTCGCTCACCAGCAGGGACACTGGAAGAAGAACAAGGCTCACGAGCAGGGACGCTGGAAGAAGAACAAGGCTCACCAGCAGGGACGCTGGAAGAAGGACAAGGCTCACCAGCAGGCACGCTGGAAGAAGAACAAGGCTCACCAGCAGGGACGCTGGAAGAAGAACAAGGCTAACGAGCAGGGACGCTGGAAGAAGAACAAGGCTCACCAGCAGGCACGCTGGAAGAAGAACAAGGCTCACCAGCAGGGACGCTGGAAGAAGAACAAGGCTCACCAGCAGGGACGCTGGAAGAAGAACAAGGCTCACGAGCAGGGTCGCTGGAAGAAGAGCAAGGCTCACCAGCAGGGACGCTGGAAGAAGAACAAGGCTCACCAGCAGGGACGCTGGAAGAAGAACAAGGCTCACCAGCAGGGACGCTGGAAGAAAAACAAGGCTCACCAGCAGGGACGCTGGAAGAAGAACAAGGCTCACGAGCAGGGTCGCTGGAAGAAGAACAAGGCACACCAGCAGGAACGCTGGAAGAAGAACAAGGCTCACCAGCAGGGACGCTGGAAGAAGAACAAGGCTCACCAGCAGGGACGCTGGAAGAAGAACAAGGCTCACCAGCAGGCACGCTGGAAGAAGAACAAGGCTCACCAGCAGGGACGCTGGAAGAAGAACAAGGCTCACCAGCAGGGACGCTGGAAGAAGAACAAGGCTCACGAGCAGGGACGCTGGAAGAAGAACAAGGCTCACCAGCAGGGACGCTGGAAGAAGAACAAGGCTCACCAGCAGGCACGCTGGAAGAAGAACAAGGCTCACCAGCAGGGACGCTGGAAGAAGAACAAGGCTCACCAGCAGGGACGCTGGAAGAAGAACAAGGCTCACCAGCAGGGACGCTGGAAGAAGAACAAGGCTCACGAGCAGGGTCGCTGGAAGAAGAACAAGGCTCACCAGCAGGGACGCTGGAAGAAGAACAAGGCTCACCAGCAGGGACGCTGGAAGAAGAACAAGGCTCACCAGCAGGGACGCTGGAAGAAAAACAAGGCTCACCAGCAGGGACGCTGGAAGAAGAACAAGGCTCACGAGCAGGGTCGCTGGAAGAAGAACAAGGCACACCAGCAGGGACGCTGGAAGAAGAACAAGGCTCACCAGCAGGGACGCTGGAAGAAGAACAAGGCTCATCAGCAGGGACGCTGGAAGAAGAACAAGGCTCACCAGCAGGGACGCTGGAAGAAGAACAAGGCTCACCAGCAGGGACGCTGGAAGAAGAACAAGGCTCACCAGCAGGGACGCTGGAAGAAGAACAAGGCTCACCAGCAGGGACGCTGGAAGAAGAACAAGGCTCACCGGCAGGGACGCTGGAAGAAGAACAAGGCTCACCAGCAGGGACGCTGGAAGAAGAACAAGGCTCACCAGCAGGGACGCTGGAAGAAGAACAAGGCTCACCAGCAGGGACGCTGGAAGAAGAACAAGGCTAACGAGCAGGGACGCTGGAAGAAGAACAAGGCTCACCAGCAGGGACGCTGGAAGAAGAACAAGGCTCACCAGCAGGGACGCTGGAAGAAGAACAAGGCTCACCAGCAGGGACGCTGGAAGAAGAACAAGGCTCACGAGCAGGGTCGCTGGAAGAAGAACAAGGCTCACCAGCAGGGACGCTGGAAGAAGAACAAGGCTCACCAGCAGGGACGCTGGAAGAAGAACAAGGCTCACCAGCAGGGACGCTGGAAGAAAAACAAGGCTCACCAGCAGGGACGCTGGAAGAAGAACAAGGCTCACGAGCAGGGTCGCTGGAAGAAGAACAAGGCTCACCAGCAGGGACGCTGGAAGAAGAACAAGGCTCACCAGCAGGGACGCTGGAAGAAGAACAAGGCTCACCAGCAGGGACGCTGGAAGAAGAACAGGGCTCACCAGCAGGGACGCTGGAAGAAGAACAAGGCTCACGAGCAGGGACGCTGGAAGAAGAACAAGGCTCACCAGCAGGGACGCTGGAAGAAGAACAAGGCTCACCAGCAGGGACGCTGGAAGAAGAACAAGGCTCACGAGCAGGGACGCTGGAAGAAGAACAAGGCTCACCAGCAGGGACGCTGGAAGAAGAACAAGGCTCACCAGCAGGGACGCTGGAAGAAGAACAAGGCTCACCAGCAGGGACGCTGGAAGAAGAACAAGGCTCACCAGCAGGGACGCTGGAAGAAGAACAAGGCTCACCAGCAGGGACGCTGGAAGAAGAACAAGGCTCACCAGCAGGGACGCTGGAAGAAGAACAAGGCTCACCAGCAGGGACGCTGGAAGAAGAACAAGGCTCACCAGCAGGGACGCTGGAAGAAGAACAAGGCTCACCAGCAGGGACGCTGGAAGAAGAACAAGGCTCACCAGCAGGGACGCTGGAAGAAGAACAAGGCTCACCAGCAGGGACGCTGGAAGAAGAACAAGGCTCACGAGCAGGGTCGCTGGAAGAAGAACAAGGCTCACCAGCAGGGACGCTGGAAGAAGAACAAGGCTCACCAGCAGGGACGCTGGAAGAAGAACAAGGCTCACCAGCAGGGACGCTGGAAGAAAAAACAAGGCTCACCAGCAGGGACGCTGGAAGAAGAACAAGGCTCACGAGCAGGGTCGCTGGAAGAAGAACAAGGCTCACCAGCAGGGACGCTGGAAGAAGAACAAGGCTCACCAGCAGGGACGCTGGAAGAAGAACAAGGCTCACCAGCAGGGACGCTGGAAGAAGGACAAGGCTCACCAGCAGGGACGCTGGAAGAAGAACAAGGCTCACGAGCAGGGACGCTGGAAGAAGAACAAGGCTCACCAGCAGGGACGCTGGAAGAAGAACAAGGCTCACCAGCAGGGACGCTGGAAGAAGAACAAGGCTCACGAGCAGGGACGCTGGAAGAAGAACAAGGCTCACCAGCAGGGACGCTGGAAGAAGAACAAGGCTCACCAGCAGGGACGCTGGAAGAAGAACAAGGCTCACCAGCAGGGACGCTGGAAGAAGAACAAGGCTCACCAGCAGGGACGCTGGAAGAAGAACAAGGCTCACCAGCAGGGACGCTGGAAGAAGAACAAGGCTCACCAGCAGGGACGCTGGAAGAAGAACAAGGCTCACCAGCAGGGACGCTGGAAGAAGAACAAGGCTCACCAGCAGGGACGCTGGAAGAAGAACAAGGCTCACCAGCAGGGACGCTGGAAGAAGAACAAGGCTCACCAGCAGGGACGCTGGAAGAAGAACAAGGCTCGCTCACCAGCAGGGACACTGGAAGAAGAACAAGGCTCACGAGCAGGGACGCTGGAAGAAGAACAAGGCTCACCAGCAGGGACGCTAAAAGAACAACAAGGCTCACCAGCAGGCACGCTGGAAGAAGAACAAGGCTCACCAGCAGGGACGCTGGAAGAAGAACAAGGCTAACGAGCAGGGACGCTGGAAGAAGAACAAGGCTCACCAGCAGGGACGCTGGAAGAAGAACAAGGCTCACCAGCAGGGACGCTGGAAGAAGAACAAGGCTCACCAGCAGGGACGCTGGAAGAAGAACAAGGCTCACGAGCAGGGTCACTGGAAGAAGAGCAAGGCTCACCAGCAGGGACGCTGGAAGAAGAACAAGGCTCACCAGCAGGGACGCTGGAAGAAGAACAAGGCTCACCAGCAGGGACGCTGGAAGAAAAACAAGGCTCACCAGCAGGGACGCTGGAAGAAGAACAAGGCTCACGAGCAGGGTCGCTGGAAGAAGAACAAGGCACACCAGCAGGAACGCTGGAAGAAGAACAAGGCTCACCAGCAGGGACGCTGGAAGAAGAACAAGGCTCACCAGCAGGGACGCTGGAAGAAGAACAAGGCTCACCAGCAGGCACGCTGGAAGAAGAACAAGGCTCACCAGCAGGGACGCTGGAAGAAGAACAAGGCTCACCAGCAGGGACGCTGGAAGAAGAACAAGGCTCACCAGCAGGGACGCTGGAAGAAGAACAAGGCTCACCAGCAGGGACGCTGGAAGAAGAACAAGGCTCACCAGCAGGCACGCTGGAAGAAGAACAAGGCTCACCAGCAGGGACGCTGGAAGAAGAACAAGGCTCACCAGCAGGGACGCTGGAAGAAGAACAAGGCTCACCAGCAGGGACGCTGGAAGAAGAACAAGGCTCACGAGCAGGGACGCTGGAAGAAGAACAAGGCTCACCAGCAGGGACGCTGGAAGAAGAACAAGGCTCACCAGCAGGCACGCTGGAAGAAGAACAAGGCTCACCAGCAGGGACGCTGGAAGAAGAACAAGGCTCACCAGCAGGGACGCTGGAAGAAGAACAAGGCTCACCAGCAGGGACGCTGGAAGAAGAACAAGGCTCACGAGCAGGGTCGCTGGAAGAAGAACAAGGCTCACCAGCAGGGACGCTGGAAGAAGAACAAGGCTCACCAGCAGGGACGCTGGAAGAAGAACAAGGCTCACCAGCAGGGACGCTGGAAGAAAAACAAGGCTCACCAGCAGGGACGCTGGAAGAAGAACAAGGCTCACGAGCAGGGTCGCTGGAAGAAGAACAAGGCACACCAGCAGGGACGCTGGAAGAAGAACAAGGCTCACCAGCAGGGACGCTGGAAGAAGAACAAGGCTCATCAGCAGGGACGCTGGAAGAAGAACAAGGCTCACCAGCAGGGACGCTGGAAGAAGAACAAGGCTCACCAGCAGGGACGCTGGAAGAAGAACAAGGCTCACCAGCAGGGACGCTGGAAGAAGAACAAGGCTCACCAGCAGGGACGCTGGAAGAAGAACAAGGCTCACCGGCAGGGACGCTGGAAGAAGAACAAGGCTCACCAGCAGGGACGCTGGAAGAAGAACAAGGCTCACCAGCAGGGACGCTGGAAGAAGAACAAGGCTCACCAGCAGGGACGCTGGAAGAAGAACAAGGCTAACGAGCAGGGACGCTGGAAGAAGAACAAGGCTCACCAGCAGGGACGCTGGAAGAAGAACAAGGCTCACCAGCAGGGACGCTGGAAGAAGAACAAGGCTCACCAGCAGGGACGCTGGAAGAAGAACAAGGCTCACGAGCAGGGTCGCTGGAAGAAGAACAAGGCTCACCAGCAGGGACGCTGGAAGAAGAACAAGGCTCACCAGCAGGGACGCTGGAAGAAGAACAAGGCTCACCAGCAGGGACGCTGGAAGAAAAACAAGGCTCACCAGCAGGGACGCTGGAAGAAGAACAAGGCTCACGAGCAGGGACGCTGGAAGAAGAACAAGGCTCACCAGCAGGGACGCTGGAAGAAGAACAAGGCTCACCAGCAGGGACGCTGGAAGAAGAACAAGGCTCACCAGCAGGGACGCTGGAAGAAGAACAGGGCTCACCAGCAGGGACGCTGGAAGAAGAACAAGGCTCACGAGCAGGGACGCTGGAAGAAGAACAAGGCTCACCAGCAGGGACGCTGGAAGAAGAACAAGGCTCACCAGCAGGGACGCTGGAAGAAGAACAAGGCTCACGAGCAGGGACGCTGGAAGAAGAACAAGGCTCACCAGCAGGGACGCTGGAAGAAGAACAAGGCTCACCAGCAGGGACGCTGGAAGAAGAACAAGGCTCACCAGCAGGGACGCTGGAAGAAGAACAAGGCTCACCAGCAGGGACGCTGGAAGAAGAACAAGGCTCACCAGCAGGGACGCTGGAAGAAGAACAAGGCTCACCAGCAGGGACGCTGGAAGAAGAACAAGGCTCACCAGCAGGGACGCTGGAAGAAGAACAAGGCTCACCAGCAGGGACGCTGGAAGAAGAACAAGGCTCACCAGCAGGGACGCTGGAAGAAGAACAAGGCTCACCAGCAGGGACGCTGGAAGAAGAACAAGGCTCACCAGCAGGGACGCTGGAAGAAGAACAAGGCTCACGAGCAGGGTCGCTGGAAGAAGAACAAGGCTCACCAGCAGGGACGCTGGAAGAAGAACAAGGCTCACCAGCAGGGACGCTGGAAGAAGAACAAGGCTCACCAGCAGGGACGCTGGAAGAAAAACAAGGCTCACCAGCAGGGACGCTGGAAGAAGAACAAGGCTCACGAGCAGGGTCGCTGGAAGAAGAACAAGGCTCACCAGCAGGGACGCTGGAAGAAGAACAAGGCTCACCAGCAGGGACGCTGGAAGAAGAACAAGGCTCACCAGCAGGGACGCTGGAAGAAGGACAAGGCTCACCAGCAGGGACGCTGGAAGAAGAACAAGGCTCACGAGCAGGGACGCTGGAAGAAGAACAAGGCTCACCAGCAGGGACGCTGGAAGAAGAACAAGGCTCACCAGCAGGGACGCTGGAAGAAGAACAAGGCTCACGAGCAGGGACGCTGGAAGAAGAACAAGGCTCACCAGCAGGGACGCTGGAAGAAGAACAAGGCTCACCAGCAGGGACGCTGGAAGAAGAACAAGGCTCACCAGCAGGGACGCTGGAAGAAGAACAAGGCTCACCAGCAGGGACGCTGGAAGAAGAACAAGGCTCACCAGCAGGGACGCTGGAAGAAGAACAAGGCTCACCAGCAGGGACGCTGGAAGAAGAACAAGGCTCACCAGCAGGGACGCTGGAAGAAGAACAAGGCTCACCAGCAGGGACGCTGGAAGAAGAACAAGGCTCACCAGCAGGGACGCTGGAAGAAGAACAAGGCTCACCAGCAGGGACGCTGGAAGAAGAACAAGGCTCGCTCACCAGCAGGGACACTGGAAGAAGAACAAGGCTCACGAGCAGGGACGCTGGAAGAAGAACAAGGCTCACCAGCAGGGACGCTAAAAGAACAACAAGGCTCACCAGCAGGCACGCTGGAAGAAGAACAAGGCTCACCAGCAGGGACGCTGGAAGAAGAACAAGGCTAACGAGCAGGGACGCTGGAAGAAGAACAAGGCTCACCAGCAGGGACGCTGGAAGAAGAACAAGGCTCACCAGCAGGGACGCTGGAAGAAGAACAAGGCTCACCAGCAGGGACGCTGGAAGAAGAACAAGGCTCACGAGCAGGGTCACTGGAAGAAGAGCAAGGCTCACCAGCAGGGACGCTGGAAGAAGAACAAGGCTCACCAGCAGGGACGCTGGAAGAAGAACAAGGCTCACCAGCAGGGACGCTGGAAGAAAAACAAGGCTCACCAGCAGGGACGCTGGAAGAAGAACAAGGCTCACGAGCAGGGTCGCTGGAAGAAGAACAAGGCACACCAGCAGGAACGCTGGAAGAAGAACAAGGCTCACCAGCAGGGACGCTGGAAGAAGAACAAGGCTCACCAGCAGGGACGCTGGAAGAAGAACAAGGCTCACCAGCAGGCACGCTGGAAGAAGAACAAGGCTCACCAGCAGGGACGCTGGAAGAAGAACAAGGCTCACCAGCAGGGACGCTGGAAGAAGAACAAGGCTCACGAGCAGGGACGCTGGAAGAAGAACAAGGCTCACCAGCAGGGACGCTGGAAGAAGAACAAGGCTCACCAGCAGGCACGCTGGAAGAAGAACAAGGCTCACCAGCAGGGACGCTGGAAGAAGAACAAGGCTCACCAGCAGGGACGCTGGAAGAAGAACAAGGCTCACCAGCAGGGACGCTGGAAGAAGAACAAGGCTCACGAGCAGGGTCGCTGGAAGAAGAACAAGGCTCACCAGCAGGGACGCTGGAAGAAGAACAAGGCTCACCAGCAGGGACGCTGGAAGAAGAACAAGGCTCACCAGCAGGGACGCTGGAAGAAAAACAAGGCTCACCAGCAGGGACGCTGGAAAAAGAACAAGGCTCACGAGAAGGGTCGCTGGAAGAAGAACAAGGCACACCAGCAGGGACGCTGGAAGAAGAACAAGGCTCACCAGCAGGGACGCTGGAAGAAGAACAAGGCTCATCAGCAGGGACGCTGGAAGAAGAACAAGGCTCACCAGCAGGGACGCTGGAAGAAGAACAAGGCTCACCAGCAGGGACGCTGGAAGAAGAACAAGGCTCACCAGCAGGGACGCTGGAAGAAGAACAAGGCTCACCAGCAGGGACGCTGGAAGAAGAACAAGGCTCACCAGCAGGGACGCTGGAAGAAGAACAAGGCTCACCAGCAGGGACGCTGGAAGAAGAACAAGGCTCACCAGCAGGGACGCTGGAAGAAGAACAAGGCTCACCAGCAGGGACGCTGGAAGAAGAACAAGGCTAACGAGCAGGGACGCTGGAAGAAGAACAAGGCTCACCAGCAGGGACGCTGGAAGAAGAACAAGGCTCACCAGCAGGGACGCTGGAAGAAGAACAAGGCTCACCAGCAGGGACGCTGGAAGAAGAACAAGGCTCACGAGCAGGGTCGCTGGAAGAAGAACAAGGCTCACCAGCAGGGACGCTGGAAGAAGAACAAGGCTCACCAGCAGGGACGCTGGAAGAAGAACAAGGCTCACCAGCAGGGACGCTGGAAGAAGAACAAGGCTCACCAGCAGGGACGCTGGAAGAAGAACAAGGCTCACGAGCAGGGACGCTGGAAGAAGAACAAGGCTCACGAGCAGGGACGCTGGAAGAAGAACAAGGCTCACCGGCAGGGACGCTGGAAGAAGAACAAGGCTCACCAGCAGGGACGCTGGAAGAAGAACAAGGCTCACCAGCAGGGACGCTGGAAGAAGAACAAGGCTCACCAGCAGGGACGCTGGAAGAAGAACAAGGCTCACCAGCAGGGACGCTGGAAGAAGAACAAGGCTCACCAGCAGGGACGCTGGAAGAAGAACAAGGCTCACGAGCAGGGTCGCTGGAAGAAGAACAAGGCACACCAGCAGGGACGCTGGAAGAAGAACAAGGCTCACCAGCAGGGACGCTGGAAGAAGAACAAGGCTCATCAGCAGGGACGCTGGAAGAAGAACAAGGCTCACCAGCAGGGACGCTGGAAGAAGAACAAGGCTCACCAGCAGGGACGCTGGAAGAAGAACAAGGCTCACCAGCAGGGACGCTGGAAGAAGAACAAGGCTCACCAGCAGGGACGCTGGAAGAAGAACAAGGCTCACCAGCAGGGACGCTGGAAGAAGAACAAGGCTCACCAGCAGGGACGCTGGAAGAAGAACAAGGCTCACCAGCAGGGACGCTGGAAGAAGAACAAGGCTCACCAGCAGGGACGCTGGAAGAAGAACAAGGCTAACGAGCAGGGACGCTGGAAGAAGAACAAGGCTCACCAGCAGGGACGCTGGAAGAAGAACAAGGCTCACCAGCAGGGACGCTGGAAGAAGAACAAGGCTCACCAGCAGGGACGCTGGAAGAAGAACAAGGCTCACGAGCAGGGTCGCTGGAAGAAGAACAAGGCTCACCAGCAGGGACGCTGGAAGAAGAACAAGGCTCACCAGCAGGGACGCTGGAAGAAGAACAAGGCTCACCAGCAGGGACGCTGGAAGAAAAACAAGGCTCACCAGCAGGGACGCTGGAAGAAGAACAAGGCTCACGAGCAGGGTCGCTGGAAGAAGAACAAGGCACACCAGCAGGGACGCTGGAAGAAGAACAAGGCTCACCAGCAGGGACGCTGGAAGAAGAACAAGGCTCACCAGCAGGGACGCTGGAAGAAGAACAAGGCTCACCAGCAGGGACGCTGGAAGAAGAACAAGGCTCACGAGCAGGGACGCTGGAAGAAGAACAAGGCTCACCAGCAGGGACGCTGGAAGAAGAACAAGGCTCACCAGCAGGGACGCTGGAAGAAGAACAAGGCTCACCAGCAGGGACGCTGGAAGAAGAACAAGGCTCACCAGCAGGGACGCTGGAAGAAGAACAAGGCTCACGAGCAGGGACGCTGGAAGAAGAACAAGGCTCACCAGCAGGGACGCTGGAAGAAGAACAAGGCTCACCAGCAGGGACGCTGGAAGAAGAACAAGGCTCACCAGCAGGGACGCTGGAAGAAGAACAAGGCTCACGAGCAGGGACGCTGGAAGAAGAACAAGGCTCACCAGCAGGGACGCTGGAAGAAGAACAAGGCTCACCAGCAGGGACGCTGGAAGAAGATCAAGGCTCACCAGCAGGGACGCTGGAAGAAGAACAAGGCTCACCAGCAGGGACGCTGGAAGAAGAACAAGGCTCACCAGCAGGGACGCTGGAAGAAGAACAAGGCTCACCAGCAGGGACGCTGGAAGAAGAACAAGGCTCACCAGCAGGGACGCTGGAAGAAGAACAAGGCTAACGAGCAGGGACGCTGGAAGAAGAACAAGGCTCACGAGCAGGGTCGCTGGAAGAAGAACAAGGCTCACCAGCAGGGACGCTGGAAGAAGAACAAGGCTCACCAGCAGGGACGCTGGAAGAAGAACAAGGCTCACCAGCAGGGTCGCTGGAAGAAGAACAAGGCTCACCAGCAGGGACGCTGGAAGAAGAACAAGGCTCACCAGCAGGGACGCTGGAAGAAGAACAAGGCTCACCAGCAGGGACGCTGGAAGAAAAACAAGGCTCACCAGCAGGGACGCTGGAAGAAGAACAAGGCTCACGAGCAGGGTCGCTGGAAGAAGAACAAGGCACACCAGCAGGGACGCTGGAAGAAGAACAAGGCTCACCAGCAGGGACGCTGGAAGAAGAACAAGGCTCACCAGCAGGGACGCTGGAAGAAGAACAAGGCTCACCAGCAGGGACGCTGGAAGAAGAACAAGGCTCACGAGCAGGGACGCTGGAAGAAGAACAAGGCTCACCAGCAGGGACGCTGGAAGAAGAACAAGGCTCACCAGCAGGGACGCTGGAAGAAGAACAAGGCTCACCAGCAGGGACGCTGGAAGAAGAACAAGGCTCACCAGCAGGGACGCTGGAAGAAGAACAAGGCTCACGAGCAGGGTCGCTGGAAGAAGAACAAGGCACACCAGCAGGGACGCTGGAAGAAGAACAAGGCTCACCAGCAGGGACGCTGGAAGAAGAACAAGGCTCATCAGCAGGGACGCTGGAAGAAGAACAAGGCTCACCAGCAGGGACGCTGGAAGAAGAACAAGGCTCACCAGCAGGGACGCTGGAAGAAGAACAAGGCTCACCAGCAGGGACGCTGGAAGAAGAACAAGGCTCACCAGCAGGGACGCTGGAAGAAGAACAAGGCTCACCAGCAGGGACGCTGGAAGAAGAACAAGGCTCACCAGCAGGGACGCTGGAAGAAGAACAAGGCTCACCAGCAGGGACGCTGGAAGAAGAACAAGGCTCACCAGCAGGGACGCTGGAAGAAGAACAAGGCTAACGAGCAGGGACGCTGGAAGAAGAACAAGGCTCACCAGCAGGGACGCTGGAAGAAGAACAAGGCTCACCAGCAGGGACGCTGGAAGAAGAACAAGGCTCACCAGCAGGGACGCTGGAAGAAGAACAAGGCTCACGAGCAGGGTCGCTGGAAGAAGAACAAGGCTCACCAGCAGGGACGCTGGAAGAAGAACAAGGCTCACCAGCAGGGACGCTGGAAGAAGAACAAGGCTCACCAGCAGGGACGCTGGAAGAAAAACAAGGCTCACCAGCAGGGACGCTGGAAGAAGAACAAGGCTCACGAGCAGGGTCGCTGGAAGAAGAACAAGGCACACCAGCAGGGACGCTGGAAGAAGAACAAGGCTCACCAGCAGGGACGCTGGAAGAAGAACAAGGCTCACCAGCAGGGACGCTGGAAGAAGAACAAGGCTCACCAGCAGGGACGCTGGAAGAAGAACAAGGCTCACGAGCAGGGACGCTGGAAGAAGAAGCAAGGCTCACCAGCAGGGACGCTGGAAGAAGAACAAGGCTCACCAGCAGGGACGCTGGAAGAAGAACAAGGCTCACCAGCAGGGACGCTGGAAGAAGAACAAGGCTCACGAGCAGGGACGCTGGAAGAAGAACAAGGCTCACGAGCAGGGACGCTGGAAGAAGAACAAGGCTCACCAGCAGGGACGCTGGAAGAAGAACAAGGCTCACCAGCAGGGACGCTGGAAGAAGAACAAGGCTCACCAGCAGGGACGCTGGAAGAAGAACAAGGCTCACGAGCAGGGACGCTGGAAGAAGAACAAGGCTCACCAGCAGGGACGCTGGAAGAAGAACAAGGCTCACCAGCAGGGACGCTGGAAGAAGAACAAGGCTCACCAGCAGGGACGCTGGAAGAAGAACAAGGCTCACCAGCAGGGACGCTGGAAGAAGAACAAGGCTCACCAGCAGGGACGCTGGAAGAAGAACAAGGCTCACCAGCAGGGACGCTGGAAGAAGAACAAGGCTCACCAGCAGGGACGCTGGAAGAAGAACAAGGCTCACGAGCAGGGACGCTGGAAGAAGAACAAGGCTCACCAGCAGGGACGCTGGAAGAAGAACAAGGCTCACCAGCAGGGACGCTGGAAGAAGAACAAGGCTCACCAGCAGGGACGCTGGAAGAAGAACCAAGGCTCACGAGCAGGGACGCTGGAAGAAGAACAAGGCTCACCAGCAGGGACGCTGGAAGAAGAACAAGGCTCACCAGCAGGGACGCTGGAAGAAGAACAAGGCTCACCAGCAGGGACGCTGGAAGAAGAAACAAGGCTCACCAGCAGGGACGCTGGAAGAAGAACAAGGCTCACCAGCAGGGTCGCTGGAAGAAGAACAAGGCATCACCAGCAGGGACGCTGGAAGAAGAACAAGGCTCACCAGCAGGGACGCTGGAAGAAGAACAAGGCTCACGAGCAGGCGCTGGAAGAGAACAGGCCCCAGCAGGGACGCTGGAAGAAGAACAAGGCTCACCAGCAGGGACGCTGGAAGAAGAACAAGGCTCACCAGCAGGGACGCTGGAAGAAGAACAAGGCTCACCAGCAGGGACGCTGGAAGAAGAACAAGGCTCACCAGCAGGGACGCTGGAAGAAGAACAAGGCTCACCAGCAGGGACGCTGGAAGAAGAACAAGGCTCACCAGCAGGGACGCTGGAAGAAGAACAAGGCTCACCAGCAGGGACGCTGGAAGAAGAACAAGGCTCACCAGCAGGGACGCTGGAAGAAGAACAAGGCTCACCAGCAGGGACGCTGGAAGAAGAACAAGGCTCACCAGCAGGGACGCTGGAAGAAGAACAAGGCTCACCAGCAGGGACGCTGGAAGAAGAACAAGGCTCACCAGCAGGGACGCTGGAAGAAGAACAAGGCTCACCAGCAGGGACGCTGGAAGAAGAACAAGGCTCACCAGCAGGGACGCTGGAAGAAGAACAAGGCTCACCAGCAGGGACGCTGGAAGAAGAACAAGGCTCACCAGCAGGGACGCTGGAAGAAGAACAAGGCTCACCAGCAGGGACGCTGGAAGAAGAACAAGGCTCACCAGCAGGGACGCTGGAAGAAGAACAAGGCTCACCAGCAGGGACGCTGGAAGAAGAACAAGGCTCACCAGCAGGGACGCTGGAAGAAGAACAAGGCTCACCAGCAGGGACGCTGGAAGAAGAACAAGGCTCACCAGCAGGGACGCTGGAAGAAGAACAAGGCTCACCAGCAGGGACGCTGGAAGAAGAACAAGGCTCACGAGCAGGGACGCTGGAAGAAGAACAAGGCTCACCAGCAGGGACGCTGGAAGAAGAACAAGGCTCACCAGCAGGGACGCTGGAAGAAGAACAAGGCTCACGAGCAGGGACGCTGGAAGAAGAACAAGGCTCACCAGCAGGGACGCTGGAAGAAGAACAAGGCTCACCAGCAGGGACGCTGGAAGAAGAACAAGGCTCACCAGCAGGCACGCTGGAAGAAGAACAAGGCTCACCAGCAGGGACGCTGGAAGAAGAACAAGGCTCACCAGCAGGGACGCTGGAAGAAGAACAAGGCTCACCAGCAGGGACGCTGGAAGAAGAACAAGGCTCACCAGCAGGGACGCTGGAAGAAGAACAAAGCTCACCAGCAGGGACGCTGGAAGAAGAACAAGGCTCACCAGCAGGGACGCTGGAAGAAGAACAAGGCTCACCAGCAGGGACGCTGGAAGAAGAACAAGGCTCACCAGCAGGGACGCTGGAAGAAGAACAAGGCTCACCAGCAGGGACGCTGGAAGAAGAACAAGGCTAACGAGCAGGGACGCTGGAAGAAGAACAAGGCTCACCAGCAGGGACGCTGGAAGAAGAACAAGGCTCACCAGCAGGGACGCTGGAAGAAGAACAAGGCTCACCAGCAGGGACGCTGGAAGAAGAACAAGGCTCACGAGCAGGGTCGCTGGAAGAAGAACAAGGCTCACCAGCAGGGACGCTGGAAGAAGAACAAGGCTCACCAGCAGGGACGCTGGAAGAAGAACAAGGCTCACCAGCAGGGACGCTGGAAGAAAAACAAGGCTCACCAGCAGGGACGCTGGAAGAAGAACAAGGCTCACGAGCAGGGTCGCTGGAAGAAGAACAAGGCTCACCAGCAGGGACGCTGGAAGAAGAACAAGGCTCACCAGCAGGGACGCTGGAAGAAGAACAAGGCTCACCAGCAGGGACGCTGGAAGAAGAACAGGGCTCACCAGCAGGGACGCTGGAAGAAGAACAAGGCTCACGAGCAGGGACGCTGGAAGAAGAACAAGGCTCACCAGCAGGGACGCTGGAAGAAGAACAAGGCTCACGAGCAGGGTCGCTGGAAGAAGAGCAAGGCTCACCAGCAGGGACGCTGGAAGAAGAACAAGGCTCACCAGCAGGGACGCTGGAAGAAGAACAAGGCTCACCAGCAGGGACGCTGGAAGAAAAACAAGGCTCACCAGCAGGGACGCTGGAAGAAGAACAAGGCTCACGAGCAGGGTCGCTGGAAGAAGAACAAGGCACACCAGCAGGAACGCTGGAAGAAGAACAAGGCTCACCAGCAGGGACGCTGGAAGAAGAACAAGGCTCACCAGCAGGGACGCTGGAAGAAGAACAAGGCTCACCAGCAGGCACGCTGGAAGAAGAACAAGGCTCACCAGCAGGGACGCTGGAAGAAGAACAAGGCTCACCAGCAGGGACGCTGGAAGAAGAACAAGGCTCACGAGCAGGGACGCTGGAAGAAGAACAAGGCTCACCAGCAGGGACGCTGGAAGAAGAACAAGGCTCACCAGCAGGCACGCTGGAAGAACAAGGCTCACCAGCAGGGACGCTGGAAGAAGAACAAGGCTCACCAGCAGGGACGCTGGAAGAAGAACAAGGCTCACCAGCAGGGACGCTGGAAGAAGAACAAGGCTCACGAGCAGGGTCGCTGGAAGAAGAACAAGGCTCACCAGCAGGGACGCTGGAAGAAGAACAAGGCTCACCAGCAGGGACGCTGGAAGAAGAACAAGGCTCACCAGCAGGGACGCTGGAAGAAAAACAAGGCTCACCAGCAGGGACGCTGGAAGAAGAACAAGGCTCACGAGCAGGGTCGCTGGAAGAAGAACAAGGCACACCAGCAGGGACGCTGGAAGAAGAACAAGGCTCACCAGCAGGGACGCTGGAAGAAGAACAAGGCTCATCAGCAGGGACGCTGGAAGAAGAACAAGGCTCACCAGCAGGGACGCTGGAAGAAGAACAAGGCTCACCAGCAGGGACGCTGGAAGAAGAACAAGGCTCACCAGCAGGGACGCTGGAAGAAGAACAAGGCTCACCAGCAGGGACGCTGGAAGAAGAACAAGGCTCACCGGCAGGGACGCTGGAAGAAGAACAAGGCTCACCAGCAGGGACGCTGGAAGAAGAACAAGGCTCACCAGCAGGGACGCTGGAAGAAGAACAAGGCTCACCAGCAGGGACGCTGGAAGAAGAACAAGGCTAACGAGCAGGGACGCTGGAAGAAGAACAAGGCTCACCAGCAGGGACGCTGGAAGAAGAACAAGGCTCACCAGCAGGGACGCTGGAAGAAGAACAAGGCTCACCAGCAGGGACGCTGGAAGAAGAACAAGGCTCACGAGCAGGGTCGCTGGAAGAAGAACAAGGCTCACCAGCAGGGACGCTGGAAGAAGAACAAGGCTCACCAGCAGGGACGCTGGAAGAAGAACAAGGCTCACCAGCAGGGACGCTGGAAGAAAAACAAGGCTCACCAGCAGGGACGCTGGAAGAAGAACAAGGCTCACGAGCAGGGTCGCTGGAAGAAGAACAAGGCTCACCAGCAGGGACGCTGGAAGAAGAACAAGGCTCACCAGCAGGGACGCTGGAAGAAGAACAAGGCTCACCAGCAGGGACGCTGGAAGAAGAACAGGGCTCACCAGCAGGGACGCTGGAAGAAGAACAAGGCTCACGAGCAGGGACGCTGGAAGAAGAACAAGGCTCACCAGCAGGGACGCTGGAAGAAGAACAAGGCTCACCAGCAGGGACGCTGGAAGAAGAACAAGGCTCACGAGCAGGGACGCTGGAAGAAGAACAAGGCTCACCAGCAGGGACGCTGGAAGAAGAACAAGGCTCACCAGCAGGGACGCTGGAAGAAGAACAAGGCTCACCAGCAGGGACGCTGGAAGAAGAACAAGGCTCACCAGCAGGGACGCTGGAAGAAGAACAAGGCTCACGAGCAGGGTCGCTGGAAGAAGAGCAAGGCTCACCAGCAGGGACGCTGGAAGAAGAACAAGGCTCACCAGCAGGGACGCTGGAAGAAGAACAAGGCTCACCAGCAGGGACGCTGGAAGAAAAACAAGGCTCACCAGCAGGGACGCTGGAAGAAGAACAAGGCTCACGAGCAGGGTCGCTGGAAGAAGAACAAGGCACACCAGCAGGAACGCTGGAAGAAGAACAAGGCTCACCAGCAGGGACGCTGGAAGAAGAACAAGGCTCACCAGCAGGGACGCTGGAAGAAGAACAAGGCTCACCAGCAGGCACGCTGGAAGAAGAACAAGGCTCACCAGCAGGGACGCTGGAAGAAGAACAAGGCTCACCAGCAGGGACGCTGGAAGAAGAACAAGGCTCACGAGCAGGGACGCTGGAAGAAGAACAAGGCTCACCAGCAGGGACGCTGGAAGAAGAACAAGGCTCACCAGCAGGCACGCTGGAAGAAGAACAAGGCTCACCAGCAGGGACGCTGGAAGAAGAACAAGGCTCACCAGCAGGGACGCTGGAAGAAGAACAAGGCTCACCAGCAGGGACGCTGGAAGAAGAACAAGGCTCACCAGCAGGGACGCTGGAAGAAGAACAAGGCTCACCAGCAGGGACGCTGGAAGAAGAACAAGGCTCACCAGCAGGGACGCTGGAAGAAGAACAAGGCTAACGAGCAGGGACGCTGGAAGAAGAACAAGGCTCACCAGCAGGGACGCTGGAAGAAGAACAAGGCTCACCAGCAGGGACGCTGGAAGAAGAACAAGGCTCACCAGCAGGGACGCTGGAAGAAGAACAAGGCTCACGAGCAGGGACGCTGGAAGAAGAGCAAGGCTCACCAGCAGGGACGCTGGAAGAAGAACAAGGCTCACCAGCAGGGACGCTGGAAGAAGAACAAGGCTCACCAGCAGGGACGCTGGAAGAAGAACAAGGCTCACCAGCAGGGACGCTGGAAGAAGAACAAGGCTCACGAGCAGGGACGCTGGAAGAAGAACAAGGCTCACCAGCAGGGACGCTGGAAGAAGAACAAGGCTCACCAGCAGGGACGCTGGAAGAAGAACAAGGCTCACCAGCAGGGACGCTGGAAGAAGAACAAGGCTCACGAGCAGGGACGCTGGAAGAAGAACAAGGCTCACCAGCAGGGACGCTGGAAGAAGAACAAGGCTCACCAGCAGGGACGCTGGAAGAAGAACAAGGCTCACCAGCAGGGACGCTGGAAGAAGAACAAGGCTCACCAGCAGGGACGCTGGAAGAAGAACAAGGCTCACCAGCAGGGACGCTGGAAGAAGAACAAGGCTCACCAGCAGGGACGCTGGAAGAAGAACAAGGCTCACCAGCAGGGACGCTGGAAGAAGAACAAGGCTCACGAGCAGGGACGCTGGAAGAAGAACAAGGCTCACCAGCAGGGACGCTGGAAGAAGAACAAGGCTCACCAGCAGGGACGCTGGAAGAAGAACAAGGCTCACCAGCAGGGACGCTGGAAGAAGAACAAGGCTCACCAGCAGGGACGCTGGAAGAAGAACAAGGCTCACGAGCAGGGTACGCTGGAAGAAGAACAAGGCTCACCAGCAGGGACGCTGGAAGAAGAACAAGGCTCACCAGCAGGGACGCTGGAAGAAGAACAAGGCTCACCAGCAGGGACGCTGGAAGAAGAACAAGGCTCACCAGCAGGGACGCTGGAAGAAGAACAAGGCTCACGAGCAGGGTACGCTGGAAGAAGAACAAGGCTCACCAGCAGGGACGCTGGAAGAAGAACAAGGCTCACCAGCAGGGACGCTGGAAGAAGAACAAGGCTCACCAGCAGGGACGCTGGAAGAAGAACAAGGCTCACCAGCAGGGACGCTGGAAGAAGAACAAGGCTCACCAGCAGGGACGCTGGAAGAAGAACAAGGCTCACCAGCAGGGACGCTGGAAGAAGAACAAGGCTCACCAGCAGGGACGCTGGAAGAAGAACAAGGCTCACCAGCAGGGACGCTGGAAGAAGAACAAGGCTCACCAGCAGGGACGCTGGAAGAAGAACAAGGCTCACCAGCAGGGACGCTGGAAGAAGAACAAGGCTCACCAGCAGGGACGCTGGAAGAAGAACAAGGCTCACCAGCAGGGACGCTGGAAGAAGAACAAGGCTCACCAGCAGGGACGCTGGAAGAAGAACAAGGCTCACCAGCAGGGACGCTGGAAGAAGAACAAGGCTCACCAGCAGGGACGCTGGAAGAAGAACAAGGCTCACCAGCAGGGACGCTGGAAGAAGAACAAGGCTCACCAGCAGGGACGCTGGAAGAAGAACAAGGCTCACCAGCAGGGACGCTGGAAGAAGAACAAGGCTCACCAGCAGGGACGCTGGAAGAAGAACAAGGCTCACCAGCAGGGACGCTGGAAGAAGAACAAGGCTCACCAGCAGGGACGCTGGAAGAAGAACAAGGCTCACCAGCAGGGACGCTGGAAGAAGAACAAGGCTCACCAGCAGGGACGCTGGAAGAAGAACAAGGCTCACCAGCAGGGACGCTGGAAGAAGAACAAGGCTCACCAGCAGGGACGCTGGAAGAAGAACAAGGCTCACCAGCAGGGACGCTGGAAGAAGAACAAGGCTCACCAGCAGGGACGCTGGAAGAAGAACAAGGCTCACCAGCAGGGACGCTGGAAGAAGAACAAGGCTCACCAGCAGGGACGCTGGAAGAAGAACAAGGCTCACCAGCAGGGACGCTGGAAGAAGAACAAGGCTCACCAGCAGGGACGCTGGAAGAAGAACAAGGCTCACCAGCAGGGACGCTGGAAGAAGAACAAGGCTCACCAGCAGGGACGCTGGAAGAAGAACAAGGCTCACCAGCAGGGACGCTGGAAGAAGAACAAGGCTCACCAGCAGGGACGCTGGAAGAAGAACAAGGCTCACCAGCAGGGACGCTGGAAGAAGAACAAGGCTCACCAGCAGGGACGCTGGAAGAAGAACAAGGCTCACCAGCAGGGACGCTGGAAGAAGAACAAGGCTCACGAGCAGGGACGCTGGAAGAAGAACAAGGCTCACCAGCAGGGACGCTGGAAGAAGAACAAGGCTCACCAGCAGGGACGCTGGAAGAAGAACAAGGCTCACCAGCAGGGACGCTGGAAGAAGAACAAGGCTCACCAGCAGGGACGCTGGAAGAAGAACAAGGCTCACCAGCAGGGACGCTGGAAGAAGAACAAGGCTCACCAGCAGGGACGCTGGAAGAAGAACAAGGCTCACCAGCAGGGACGCTGGAAGAAGAACAAGGCTCACCAGCAGGGACGCTGGAAGAAGAACAAGGCTCACCAGCAGGGACGCTGGAAGAAGAACAAGGCTCACCAGCAGGGACGCTGGAAGAAGAACAAGGCTCACCAGCAGGGACGCTGGAAGAAGAACAAGGCTCACCAGCAGGGACGCTGGAAGAAGAACAAGGCTCACCAGCAGGGACGCTGGAAGAAGAACAAGGCTCACCAGCAGGGACGCTGGAAGAAGAACAAGGCTCACCAGCAGGGACGCTGGAAGAAGAACAAGGCTCACCAGCAGGGACGCTGGAAGAAGAACAAGGCTCACCAGCAGGGACGCTGGAAGAAGAACAAGGCTCACCAGCAGGGACGCTGGAAGAAGAACAAGGCTCACCAGCAGGGACGCTGGAAGAAGAACAAGGCTCACCAGCAGGGACGCTGGAAGAAGAACAAGGCTCACCAGCAGGGACGCTGGAAGAAGAACAAGGCTCACCAGCAGGGACGCTGGAAGAAGAACAAGGCTCACCAGCAGGGACGCTGGAAGAAGAACAAGGCTCACCAGCAGGGACGCTGGAAGAAGAACAAGGCTCACCAGCAGGGACGCTGGAAGAAGAACAAGGCTCACCAGCAGGGACGCTGGAAGAAGAACAAGGCTCACCAGCAGGGACGCTGGAAGAAGAACAAGGCTCACCAGCAGGGACGCTGGAAGAAGAACAAGGCTCACCAGCAGGGACGCTGGAAGAAGAACAAGGCTCACCAGCAGGGACGCTGGAAGAAAACAAGGCTCACCAGCAGGGACGCTGGAAGAAGAACAAGGCTCACCAGCAGGGACGCTGGAAGAAGAACAAGGCTCACCAGCAGGGACGCTGGAAGAAGAACAAGGCTCACCAGCAGGGACGCTGGAAGAAGAACAAGGCTCACCAGCAGGGACGCTGGAAGAAGAACAAGGCTCACCAGCAGGGACGCTGGAAGAAGAACAAGGCTCACCAGCAGGGACGCTGGAAGAAGAACAAGGCTCACCAGCAGGGACGCTGGAAGAAGAACAAGGCTCACCAGCAGGGACGCTGGAAGAAGAACAAGGCTCACCAGCAGGGACGCTGGAAGAAGAACAAGGCTCACCAGCAGGGACGCTGGAAGAAGAACAAGGCTCACCAGCAGGGACGCTGGAAGAAGAACAAGGCTCACCAGCAGGGACGCTGGAAGAAGAACAAGGCTCACCAGCAGGGACGCTGGAAGAAGAACAAGGCTCACCAGCAGGGACGCTGGAAGAAGAACAAGGCTCACCAGCAGGGACGCTGGAAGAAGAACAAGGCTCACCAGCAGGGACGCTGGAAGAAGAACAAGGCTCACCAGCAGGGACGCTGGAAGAAGAACAAGGCTCACCAGCAGGGACGCTGGAAGAAGAACAAGGCTCACCAGCAGGGACGCTGGAAGAAGAACAAGGCTCACCAGCAGGGACGCTGGAAGAAGAACAAGGCTCACCAGCAGGGACGCTGGAAGAAGAACAAGGCTCACCAGCAGGGACGCTGGAAGAAGAACAAGGCTCACCAGCAGGGACGCTGGAAGAAGAACAAGGCTCACGAGCAGGGTCGCTGGAAGAAGAACAAGGCTCACCAGCAGGGACGCTGGAAGAAGAACAAGGCTCACCAGCAGGGACGCTGGAAGAAGAACAAGGCTCACCAGCAGGGACGCTGGAAGAAGAACAAGGCTCACCAGCAGGGACGCTGGAAGAAGAACAAGGCTCACGAGCAGGGACGCTGGAAGAAGAACAAGGCATCACCAGCAGGGACGCTGGAAGAAGAACAAGGCTCACCAGCAGGGACGCTGGAAGAAGAACAAGGCTCACCAGCAGGGACGCTGGAAGAAGAACAAGGCTCACTATTAGCAGGACGCTGGAAGAAGAACAAGACGCTGGAAGAAGAACAAGGCTCACGAGCAGGGACGCTGGAAGAAGAACAAGGCTCACCAGCAGGGACGCTGGAAGAAGAACAAGGCTCACCAGCAGGACGCTGGAAGAAGAACAAGGCTCACCAGCAGGGACGCTGGAAGAAGAACAAGGCTCACCAGCAGGGACGCTGGAAGAAGAACAAGGCTCACCAGCAGGGACGCTGGAAGAAGAACAAGGCTCACCGAGCAGGGACGCTGGAAGAAGAACAAGGCTCACCAGCAGGGACGCTGGAAGAAGAACAAGGCTCACCAGCAGGGACGCTGGAAGAAGAACAAGGCTCACCAGCAGGGACGCTGGAAGAAGAACAAGGCTCACCAGCAGGGACGCTGGAAGAAGAACAAGGCTCACCAGCAGGGACGCTGGAAGAAGAACAAGGCTCACCAGCAGGGACGCTGGAAGAAGAACAAGGCTCACCAAGGGACGCTGGAAGAAGAACAAGGCTCACCAGCAGGGACGCTGGAAGAAGAACAAGGCTCACCAGCAGGGACGCTGGAAGAAGAACAAGGCTCACCAGCAGGGACGCTGGAAGAAGAACAAGGCTCACCAGCAGGGACGCTGGAAGAAGAACAAGGCTCACCAGCAGGGACGCTGGAAGAAGAACAAGGCTCACCAGCAGGGACGCTGGAAGAAGAACAAGGCTCACCAGCAGGGACGCTGGAAGAAGAACAAGGCTCACCAGCAGGGACGCTGGAAGAAGAACAAGGCTCACCAGCAGGGACGCTGGAAGAAGAACAAGGCTCACCAGCAGGGACGCTGGAAGAAGAACAAGGCTCACCAGCAGGGACGCTGGAAGAAGAACAAGGCTCACCAGCAGGGACGCTGGAAGAAGAACAAGGCTCACCAGCAGGGACGCTGGAAGAAGAACAAGGCTCACCAGCAGGGACGCTGGAAGAAGAACAAGGCTCACCAGCAGGGACGCTGGAAGAAGAACAAGGCTCACCAGCAGGGACGCTGGAAGAAGAACAAGGCTCACCAGCAGGGACGCTGGAAGAAGAACAAGGCTCACCAGCAGGGACGCTGGAAGAAGAACAAGGCTCACCAGCAGGGACGCTGGAAGAAGAACAAGGCTCACCAGCAGGGACGCTGGAAGAAGAACAAGGCTCACGAGCAGGGACGCTGGAAGAAGAACAAGGCTCACGAGCAGGGACGCTGGAAGAAGAACAAGGCTCACCAGCAGGGACGCTGGAAGAAGAACAAGGCTCACCAGCAGGGACGCTGGAAGAAGAACAAGGCTCACCAGCAGGGACGCTGGAAGAAGAACAAGGCTCACCAGCAGGGACGCTGGAAGAAGAACAAGGCTCACCAGCAGGGACGCTGGAAGAAGAACAAGGCTCACCAGCAGGGACGCTGGAAGAAGAACAAGGCTCACCAGCAGGGACGCTGGAAGAAGAACAAGGCTCACCAGCAGGGACGCTGGAAGAAGAACAAGGCTCACCAGCAGGGACGCTGGAAGAAGAACAAGGCTCACCAGCAGGGACGCTGGAAGAAGAACAAGGCTCACCAGCAGGGACGCTGGAAGAAGAACAAGGCTCACCAGCAGGGACGCTGGAAGAAGAACAAGGCTCACCAGCAGGGACGCTGGAAGAAGAACAAGGCTCACCAGCAGGGACGCTGGAAGAAGAACAAGGCTCACCAGCAGGGACGCTGGAAGAAGAACAAGGCTCACCAGCAGGGACGCTGGAAGAAGAACAAGGCTCACCAGCAGGGACGCTGGAAGAAGAACAAGGCTCACCAGCAGGGACGCTGGAAGAAGAACAAGGCTAACGAGCAGGGACGCTGGAAGAAGAACAAGGCTCACCAGCAGGGACGCTGGAAGAAGAACAAGGCTCACCAGCAGGGACGCTGGAAGAAGAACAAGGCTCACCAGCAGGGACGCTGGAAGAAGAACAAGGCTCACGAGCAGGGTCGCTGGAAGAAGAACAAGGCTCACCAGCAGGGACGCTGGAAGAAGAACAAGGCTCACCAGCAGGGACGCTGGAAGAAGAACAAGGCTCACCAGCAGGGACGCTGGAAGAAAAACAAGGCTCACCAGCAGGGACGCTGGAAGAAGAACAAGGCTCACGAGCAGGGTCGCTGGAAGAAGAACAAGGCACACCAGCAGGGACGCTGGAAGAAGAACAAGGCTCACCAGCAGGGACGCTGGAAGAAGAACAAGGCTCACCAGCAGGGACGCTGGAAGAAGAACAAGGCTCACCAGCAGGGACGCTGGAAGAAGAACAAGGCTCACCAGCAGGGACGCTGGAAGAAGAACAAGGCTCACCAGCAGGGACGCTGGAAGAAGAACAAGGCTCACCAGCAGGGACGCTGGAAGAAGAACAAGGCTCACCAGCAGGGACGCTGGAAGAAGAACAAGGCTCACCAGCAGGGACGCTGGAAGAAGAACAAGGCTCACGAGCAGGGACGCTGGAAGAAGAACAAGGCTCACCAGCAGGGACGCTGGAAGAAGAACAAGGCTCACCAGCAGGGACGCTGGAAGAAGAACAAGGCTCACCAGCAGGGACGCTGGAAGAAGAACAAGGCTCACGAGCAGGGACGCTGGAAGAAGAACAAGGCTCACCAGCAGGGACGCTGGAAGAAGAACAAGGCTCACCAGCAGGGACGCTGGAAGAAGAACAAGGCTCACCAGCAGGGACGCTGGAAGAAGAACAAGGCTCACCAGCAGGGACGCTGGAAGAAGAACAAGGCTCACCAGCAGGGACGCTGGAAGAAGAACAAGGCTCACCAGCAGGGACGCTGGAAGAAGAACAAGGCTCACCAGCAGGGACGCTGGAAGAAGAACAAGGCTCACCAGCAGGGACGCTGGAAGAAGAACAAGGCTAACGAGCAGGGACGCTGGAAGAAGAACAAGGCTCACGAGCAGGGTCGCTGGAAGAAGAACAAGGCTCACCAGCAGGGACGCTGGAAGAAGAACAAGGCTCACCAGCAGGGACGCTGGAAGAAGAACAAGGCTCACGAGCAGGGTCGCTGGAAGAAGAACAAGGCTCACCAGCAGGGACGCTGGAAGAAGAACAAGGCTCACCAGCAGGGACGCTGGAAGAAGAACAAGGCTCACCAGCAGGGACGCTGGAAGAAAAACAAGGCTCACCAGCAGGGACGCTGGAAGAAGAACAAGGCTCACGAGCAGGGTCGCTGGAAGAAGAACAAGGCACACCAGCAGGGACGCTGGAAGAAGAACAAGGCTCACCAGCAGGGACGCTGGAAGAAGAACAAGGCTCACCAGCAGGGACGCTGGAAGAAGAACAAGGCTCACCAGCAGGGACGCTGGAAGAAGAACAAGGCTCACGAGCAGGGACGCTGGAAGAAGAACAAGGCTCACCAGCAGGGACGCTGGAAGAAGAACAAGGCTCACCAGCAGGGACGCTGGAAGAAGAACAAGGCTCACCAGCAGGGACGCTGGAAGAAGAACAAGGCTCACCAGCAGGGACGCTGGAAGAAGAACAAGGCTCACGAGCAGGGACGCTGGAAGAAGAACAAGGCTCACCAGCAGGGACGCTGGAAGAAGAACAAGGCTCACCAGCAGGGACGCTGGAAGAAGAACAAGGCTCACCAGCAGGGACGCTGGAAGAAGAACAAGGCTCACCAGCAGGGACGCTGGAAGAAGAACAAGGCTCACCAGCAGGGACGCTGGAAGAAGAACAAGGCTCACCAGCAGGGACGCTGGAAGAAGAACAAGGCTCACCGAGCAGGGACGCTGGAAGAAGAACAAGGCTCACCAGCAGGGACGCTGGAAGAAGAACAAGGCTCACCAGCAGGGACGCTGGAAGAAGAACAAGGCGCACGAGCAGGGACGCTGGAAGAAGAACAAGGCTCACCAGCAGGGACGCTGGAAGAAGAACAAGGCTCACGAGCAGGGACGCTGGAAGAAGAACAAGGCTCACCAGCAGGGACGCTGGAAGAAGAACAAGGCTCACGAGCAGGGACGCTGGAAGAAGAACAAGGCTCACCAGCAGGGACGCTGGAAGAAGAACAAGGCTCACCAGCAGGGACGCTGGAAGAAGAACAAGGCTCACCAGCAGGGACGCTGGAAGAAGAACAAGGCTCACCAGCAGGGACGCTGGAAGAAGAACAAGGCTCACCAGCAGGGACGCTGGAAGAAGAACAAGGCTCACCAGCAGGGACGCTGGAAGAAGAACAAGGCTCACCAGCAGGGACGCTGGAAGAAGAACAAGGCTCACGAGCAGGGACGCTGGAAGAAGAACAAGGCTCACGAGCAGGGACGCTGGAAGAAGAACAAGGCTCACCAGCAGGGACGCTGGTAGAAGAACAAGGCTCACCAGCAGGGACGCTGGAAGAAGAACAAGGCTCACCAGCAGGGACGCTGGAAGAAGAACAAGGCTCACCAGCAGGGACGCTGGAAGAAGAACAAGGCTCACGAGCAGGGACGCTGGAAGAAGAACAAGGCTCACCAGCAGGGACGCTGGAAGAAGAACAAGGCTCACCAGCAGGGACGCTGGAAGAAGAACAAGGCTCACCAGCAGGGACGCTGGAAGAAGAACAAGGCTCACCAGCAGGGACGCTGGAAGAAGAACAAGGCTCACGAGCAGGGACGCTGGAAGAAGAACAAGGCACACCAGCAGGAACGCTGGAAGAAGAACAAGGCTCACCAGCAGGGACGCTGGAAGAAGAACAAGGCTCACCAGCAGGGACGCTGGAAGAAGAACAAGGCTCACGAGCAGGGTCGCTGGAAGAAGAACAAGGCTCACCAGCAGGGACGCTGGAAGAAGAACAAGGCTCACCAGCAGGGACGCTGGAAGAAGAACAAGGCTCACCAGCAGGGACGCTGGAAGAAAAACAAGGCTCACCAGCAGGGACGCTGGAAGAAGAACAAGGCTCACGAGCAGGGACGCTGGAAGAAGAACAAGGCTCACCAGCAGGGACGCTGGAAGAAGAACAAGGCTCACGAGCAGGGACGCTGGAAGAAGAACAAGGCTCACCAGCAGGGACGCTGGAAGAAGAACAAGGCTCACCAGCAGGGACGCTGGAAGAAGAACAAGGCTCACCAGCAGGGACGCTGGAAGAAGAACAAGGCTCACCAGCAGGGACGCTGGAAGAAGAACAAGGCTCACCAGCAGGGACGCTGGAAGAAGAACAAGGCTCACCAGCAGGGACGCTGGAAGAAGAACAAGGCTCACCAGCAGGGACGCTGGAAGAAGAACAAGGCTCACGAGCAGGGACGCTGGAAGAAGAACAAGGCTCACCAGCAGGGACGCTGGTAGAAGAACAAGGCTCACCAGCAGGGACGCTGGAAGAAGAACAAGGCTCACCAGCAGGGACGCTGGAAGAAGAACAAGGCTCACCAGCAGGGACGCTGGAAGAAGAACAAGGCTCACGAGCAGGGACGCTGGAAGAAGAACAAGGCTCACCAGCAGGGACGCTGGAAGAAGAACAAGGCTCACCAGCAGGGACGCTGGAAGAAGAACAAGGCTCACCAGCAGGGACGCTGGAAGAAGAACAAGGCTCACCAGCAGGGACGCTGGAAGAAGAACAAGGCTCACGAGCAGGGACGCTGGAAGAAGAACAAGGCTCACCAGCAGGGACGCTGGTAGAAGAACAAGGCTCACCAGCAGGGACGCTGGAAGAAGAACAAGGCTCACCAGCAGGGACGCTGGAAGAAGAACAAGGCTCACCAGCAGGGACGCTGGAAGAAGAACAAGGCTCACGAGCAGGGACGCTGGAAGAAGAACAAGGCTCACCAGCAGGGACGCTGGAAGAAGAACAAGGCTCACCAGCAGGGACGCTGGAAGAAGAACAAGGCTCACCAGCAGGGACGCTGGAAGAAGAACAAGGCTCACGAGCAGGGACGCTGGAAGAAGAACAAGGCTCACGAGCAGGGACGCTGGAAGAAGAACAAGGCTCACGAGCAGGGACGCTGGAAGAAGAACAAGGCTCACCGGCAGGGAGAAGCAGGAAGGCCCTCAGCTGCCACTCGCTGTGTGGAGAGACGCTGGAAGGCCGCAGCCCGAGTCTAAACACGGGGATACGAGACGAAAGGAAAAGTCTAAAGCTCAGCATCAGGGGAGAAAAACAAACAAGGCTCACGGGGAGGGAGAAGTAGGACGGCCCTTCACTGCCACTTGCAGCGTAAAGAGGAGCTGGAAGGCCAGCGCCTGAGTCTTGGCACCGTGAGCTGAGTGGGGCTGAGTGGGAGGGAGAAGTCAAAACCTCACCAGCAGGGAGACAAGCAGACGAGGCTCTCCAGGAGGGAGAAGTAGGACGGCCCTTGAGTGCCACTCGCTGTGTGGAGAGAGGCAGGGAGGTCAGCGTGAGTCGGAGAGCGAAGTAGAAAGCTCACCAGCAGAGAGAAATAGGAAGGGCCTTCACTGCCACTCGCTGTGTGGAGAGACGCTGGAAGTCCACAGCCCGAGTCTTGGCACGACACCACCAGCATGCACCGCTCTCCACCCCTCTCTTGCCCACTCTTATGCTCTCTCCCATGCCCTCTCACACGCCCCCTGTCTGGTTTCCAAGTGTGTCTCCTGTCTTGTCTCCCATGCCTTCTCTCATGCCACCCCTCCCCTTTTTTACTGCCTGCTGCGCTTGCTGCTGTTGGGGTGGATGGGGAAAACGTGGAAAGATGACGTATGTTTTTTAGGCGCTTTGCGGAAAAATTTAGGTGGACGGGAGTGGGCGGTTTTGGGAGCGTGTGGTGTGGTTGAGAGAAGGCGTGGGAGACGTGAGAAACGTGGAACGGATGTGTGCTTCTAGGATGGCTTTGGTCTGGCCTGCGGTGCATGGGGTGGATGGGGTGGAAGGGGTGGATGGGGTGGATGGGGTGGATGGGGTGGATGGGGTGGATGGGGTGGATGGGGTGGATGGGGTGGATGGGGTGCATGGGGTGCATGGGGTGGATGGGGTGGATGGGGTGGATGGGGTGGATGGGGTGGATGGGGTGGATGGGGTGGATGGGGTGGATGGGGTGGATGGGGTGGATGGGGTGCATGGGGTGGATGGGGTGGATGGGGTGGATGGGGTGGATGGGGTGGATGGGGTGGATGGGGTGGATGGGGTGGATGGGGTGGATGGGGTGGATGGGGTGCATGGGGTGGATGGGGTGGATGGGGTGGATGGGGTGGATGGGGTGGATGGGGTGGATGGGGTGCATGGGGTGCAGGGGGTGGATGGGGTGGATGGGGTGGATGGGGTGGATGGGGTGGATGGGTTGGATGGGGTGCATGGGGTGGATGGGGTGGATGGGGTGGATGGGGTGGATGGGGTGGATGGGGTGGAAGGGGAAACCGTGGCGAGAGGAAGTATCCTTTTGAGGTGCTTCGTGAAAAGAGTCAAGGTGGATGTGAGTGGGCGGTTCTGGGAGCGTGTGGTGTGGTTGAGAGAAGGCGTGGGAGTCGTGAGAAGTGTGGAAGGAGAGCGGAGGGGGGTAAAGGGGGTGGTGAGGGGGTGGGGGACGGTGTGCAGGAAATGAGCGAAGAATCAAGGAGTGCCGTAAATAGGCGCTCTACCCTAAATCATCTTGAATTTGTGTGAACCAGTATCAACTAATAAACAAGCAGGATTAATCGCAAAAGCTACATTCAACCACTGACAGCCAAGCTTACCCTGGCAGCAAAGGGTGTCTTGCAAGCTTGTTCCTTGTGGCACCACAGACAACTGCACTGTCACGTGGCCTTGTGTCGTGAACTTGACAGCGTTATCTGAAACGAAACCAAGGAAAGTAACCAGAAGTTGCAAACGGTCGTTACCACCATCACACACATCACCATCACACGATTAGTTAATACTTCTCCTTGTATCCTACATTCACCCTATAAACTTGGGTAGAGATAGGCACCCAAACTAAGTTTGGGTGCACAACTAAGGTTAACCCTAACTCCGGTGTTGGCAATCCAACCATGGCCCAAAGGTTTGACCCCCAGGGTTGGGTCGGGAGATGATTGCACCCCCAATAAGTTTGGCCCAGCTGTGGCGAACATTTTTAGGACCCCCCAATAATTCTCCAACCCAACTTATTGGTGGGGTAAAAATGTAGGTCACGAACACCCTTGCTCAACCTCTATGTATACCCTTTCATACGTTACTCCAGTCCCTTGGCTCTTCCTACATACTCATGTTTTCTAGCACACACATCATCATCCCACCACCACCCGCCCACGTCTCAACCCAAGGCGCACCTGTGATCTCCTTGAGCGCATTGCTGAGATGCAAGGGGTCCACAATGACATGCACCGGGCAGTCGTCGCACACACTGGCGCTCACTGCATAGGGAGGAAGGAGAATGGAAGTTTCCAGCTCAACATTGCGGGAATGAGGCCGAGGTACGGAGCGCAAAGTGATGGTGAGGCACATAAAAAGTCGCTTCACTACACGAGAATGATGCCGAGGTACATGGGGCAAACTGATGCCACTGGAATGAGGCACACGCACAACTTTAAGAACAATGAGACACACAGTACAAAAAGCAATGGGACACACTATATTAAGAGCAATGAGACACGCTATATTTAGAACAACGAGACACGCTATATTAAGAGCTATGAGACACACTATATCAAGAACAATGAGACACATTGAGACACACAATATATGAAGAACACACAAAATATTATAAACATTGAGACACACAATATAGAAAACAATGAGACACACGCTTGCCAGTCAAAGGCGGCATGAAGCCACTCGCGCACATCAATCATCGTCTCATTCCGCGTGAATGCAGGCATGAGGGGCGACGACCCTCTGGTGCACTCACATTTGGCCCGTTTGGAGCGAGCCGCCTCCACATGCCAATCTAATGCGCCACGAAGCCACTGACGCACATCAACCGCCGTCTCATCCACCACCACCTTGCCTGCCTCCCGTTTGACCACATGCAGTGCACCCCTCGTTAGTAACCCAGCAACTCACATTCAATGCCTTTGGAGCGTGCTGCCTCCACGTGCCAGTGCAACGCAGCATCCAGCCACTCCCGCACGTCAATCACCGTCTCATCCACCACCGCCTTGCCTGCCTCCAGCTTCGCCAGGTCCAACACGCGGTTGACCAGATGCAGTGTTTTCTTTGCTGATGCTGTGGCCATTAGCAGGTCTTCTAGCTGGGAGGAGTCCAGGCCCATGTCTCCTAGAGCATCGAGCATGCCTGATGGGAGGGAAGAGCGATGTGGGCAGCAGACGCGTGAGTGCATGGGGCCATGAAGTCATATGAAACACCAAGTTGAGCGGATGCAGTGCATCCTTGGATGACAGTCCGACCATTAGCAGGTCCGGCAGTTGGAGCGGTCCAATGGAGGAAACCGAGAGAGACACAGGAGAGAGTGTGGGCTGAGAGCTTGTCCACGCCAGAGGCGCGGACGTAAGCAAGTGCAGCCTCAGACACGAAACGCAGCCTCAACACCAGGAAACTCATTCCAGAGAAGGGACTGCGTAACTTGGGGGTGTGAAACACGAGACCACAGGTTAAGCTGGTGCTTGGCGTAGCGGAATGAAAAGATGTCATAGATAATGAGGGCCGCCGGCATGACACATGAATGAAAAAATGATAATGGGGGCCGCCGGCATGACACATGAATGTAGGCGCAATCTCTGCGACCAAACCAATGCGGCACTCAGCGACCCCGTTCTGTTGCAATGAGGGGGGTACTATCCATATGTGCTAGAGCGAGAGGGAGGGAGGGAGGGAGGGAGGGAGGGAGGGAGGGAGGGAGGGAGGGAGGGAGGGAGGGAGGGAGGGAGGGAGGGAGGGAGGGAGGGAGGGAGGGAGGGAGGGAAGGAGGGAAGGAGGGAAGGAGGGAGGGGGGGAAGGAGGGGAGGAGGGAAGGAGGGAAGGGGGGAAGGAGGGGAGGAGGGAAGGAGGGAGGGGGGGAAGGAGGGGAGGAGGGAAGGAGGGAGGGGGGGAAGGAGGGGAGGAGGGAAGGAGGGAGGGGGGGAAGGAGGGGAGGAGGGAAGGAGGGAGGAAGGGAAGGAGGGGAGGAGGGAAGGAGGGAGGGGGGGAAGGAGGGGAGGAGGGAAGGAGGGAGGGGGGGAAGGAGGGGAGGAGGGAAGGAGGGAGGGAGAGGGGGGGGGGGCATGAGCAAGTCTGGCAGCAGGAGGAAGCCCATGCCTGTTAGAGCGTTTGACCCATGCTTGGTGGGGGAAAAGGGATGTGGGTGGGAGAGAGGGGAGCAGGTAGGGTGCAGAGGGGATAACAGGAATGCAATACCTACCTATGATTCCAACCATGGGCGCCCGCAGCTCATGAGACATGAACGCTACAAACATGCTCTTCGATGCCTCTGCTTCACCTGCCTCCCGTCTCAGCCTATCAGCTTCCGCCATCTGCTGCTGGGTCTGCAGGAACTTAGCACGCTGCAGACATGCCGCCAGCAGCACGAGCAACACGAGGAGGAGGGCGAAGAGGGCGATGAGGATGGGGATGCCCCACGATTGCCACGTGCTGGGGGGCTGTGTGTGCCTGGGTGGGGTAACAGTTGCATGGGAGGATAGAAGCACGTGTGGAAGCTGAGTGTGCAAGGGCATAGGAGGAGGGCGAAGAGGGCGACGAGGATAGGGATGCCCCACATCTGCCATGTGCTAGGGGGATGTCTGTGTCTGGATGAGGGGGATAACAAGAAGATAGTTTATAAATAGTAAATTGTTGATGAGAAAGGCCCCGCACTCACTTGGGCAAAGTCGGCCTCGCTGGCCGATGTGCAATGTGGTCGATAGGGATTCGCGGCAAGTGTATCACGTGCGACAACAACGCGCCAGGTGACGTTATCGAAGGGGTTGAGCAAAAAAACGAACACCTGTTCGGTTTGCCTCGAACGTGTTCGAGGCGAACCGAACAGGTTTTTTTTTTTGGCTTACAATGTTCACCCGAACACGTTCGTGTTCGGACCGCTGCTGCAATTTGCCCGCGACGAACACGAACAGTGTTCGAGGTTCGCCCGAACACGCCTTCACAGGCGAACGGCGAACACCATTTTTTGCTCAAAGAGTTCGCCGAACCGAACAGTGTTCGGTTCGGCAAACAAAGGTGTTCGTGTAGGGGCGAACACGAACACGTTCGTGTTCGCCACTTGCTCATCCCAGGCTGACAAAGCGCCTGCCAACGAGATTGTGACGTGGGCGGCAGTGAATCTCCCAGTCAGCGAGTGCCTTGATCGACGATCCCAGTCGACAAAAGTAATCATCCGCGGAAAGCCAACCGACGAGATGAACGACATCGGCAGCGATGACCGAGCGGCGTCTTTCTGGTCGACCAAATTACTGGTTGTCAGTATTCTGCTTGTGTGCAAATTTCGCCCCAGGAGGTTGTGGCAAATGTCTACTTGTAGAATCAGCGTCACGTGCTCTACAACCTTGCACCTCCGCAATGTGCATCATGTGCACAGCGTGCACGTAACTGATTGTTGAGCAAACCTGCAGCTACTTGACATGTGGCTTGCATGTGCATGGTTCACCTGCCATTGCTGTGTTGGCAAGCCACCCTCGGTGGGTGCGACGCCAACATTGTGCAAGGTGGCCGTGATACTCGGTATATTGGTCCATGCCTTCCATAGCATCATATATTACTTACCTGTTCTAGTGTTAAACTAAGGTTGACTTTTCAAACGGGCACAGCGAGCACGCGCGAACCTACACAAGAGGTGACCCGCTAAGATACCCGTACGCCTCTCACGTAGTCTACTCCCGTTGTTGGTCAACTCTTCGCATGCATGCCATGCAGGGGCGTAGGATGAGTGTAAGGGGAGCAATGGGGAGACTCTTGAAGATGTCAAGTTACATAATGATTACCAGCTCTAAGTCAAGAGGTGACTTTCGACAGTCAAGAGGTGACTTTTGACAGTCAAGAGGTGACTTTCGACAGTCAAGAGGTGACTTTCGACAGTCAAGAGGTGACTTTCGACAGTCAAGAGGTGACTTTCGACAGTCAAGAGGTGACTTTCGACAGTCAAGAGGTGACTTTCGACAGTCAAGAGGTGACTTTCGACAGTCAAGAGGTGACTTTCGACAGTCAAGAGGTGACTTTCGACAGTCAAGAGGTGACTTTCGACAGTCAAGAGGTGACTTTCGACAGTCAAGAGGTGACTTTCGACAGTCAAGAGGTGACTTTCGACAGTCAAGAGGTGACTTTCGACAGTCAAGAGGTGACTTTCGACAGCCAAACACTTCACACTCTCTGAACCAATCACATGATCACTAGAAAGCTCACCTGCTGTCGTATGGTGTACCATAAATATCCCCAGTCTCACCTGCACCAGACCTCGTACTTTCTCACACCTGCTCCCATCTCTAGAGGCACCACGGCTCGATGTTCCCAGGGGCGGGTTTCAGAGTTCGGGCAGGGGTGCATGGGGTGGAGCGAGAGAGCGAGCGAGAGAGCCCTAGAGAAAGGATGTAGAAGGCTTACTCACCTGCGATTATTGAGGCACCTCATAAACGGTTCTAGAAGGCTTACTCACCTGCACCAGACCTCATATCTGCGCACGCCCGCTCCCATCTCCTCTAGAGGCACCACTGCTCGATGCTCCCAGGGGCGGGTTTCAGAGTTGGGAGAGGGGTGCATGTAGGGGAGCTTGTCGTCGGGGCGGAAATAGGCATGGGGGGGGACTGGAGAGACGATGGCAAAGAGCGAGGCTGGGTCGGTGATGTCGTATAGCTCAAAGGACTTGGATGGGTCTGGATGGGAGGAAGAGAAGAGGGGAGGGGGGGATGGGGGGAAAAGAGGAGAGGGGGAGGAAGAAAAGGGAAAGAGGAGGGCAGAGATTAAGAAGAGCACAATGCAAACATCGAGATGTCTTCAACACGACGCAAACGTCAAGTCAAGATGTCTTCAACTTGTACGTCAAGTCAAGATGTCTTCAACTTGTACGTCAAGTCAAGATGTCTTCAACTTGTACGTCAAGTCAAGATGTCTTCAACTTGTACGTCAAGTCAAGATGTCTTCAACTTGTACGTCAAGTCAAGATGTCTTCAACTTGTACGGAAAAGTATTTTTGACAGCAAGGGGCATCGATAGGTTATGCAGCTCTGCACTCACCAGCTTCATATAGCTCCTGTAGGACCTTCTGTGCGATGTAAGTCACATCAAAAGATGCAGCCAGTGACCCGTACACTGGTCCCTTTGCTGATTGGCTTGAGTGGTTAGTGGGAAGGCTGCGGCGGAGAGGAAAGGCGACACCTGCGGTGGGGTCAGGAGAAACGAGAGAGATTGGATGGAGATTTTTATCACTATTTGCCACTAATGATAAAAGTAAAATTGCTGGAAGAGGTACACGTTGGAAGAGGTAGCCACTGGGAGAGGTAGCCACTGGAAGAGGTAGCCACTGGAAGAGGTAGCCACTGGAAGAGGTAGACGCTGCTTGGGCCGTTGTGAGTTCGGTCCGTTTGAGAGAGCAGCAGGTCACACCACTGCCAAGGCTATGCTACCATGGCCTCCCTCACTCACTCCCTCACTCACTCCCTCACTCAATCCCTCACTCACTCAACCACTCCCTCACTCCTTCGCTCCCTCACTCACTCACTCACTCACCGAATCCGGCATGAGTGAGTGGATTGGCGAGGGCGTAGGGCCAGGAGTAGAAGTGCCGGCCTTCTAGCACGAGCGGGATCAGAGAGTAGTATCGTTGGAACATGTCAATGTTGCTGGGGCCGTTGGTTGCATAGAGCGTTGTGAGCTCTAGAATCTTCGGGCAGTAGATGGGGCGGCGTGCGCTGACAATCAGCGTGTTGTCTCTGATGCTGCCGTACTGCTTTTCAAAGGCCGGCCTGCAGCGACATGCGTGAGTGGGAGGGGTCAGGTGAGAAGGGAAAGGCGTAGAGTATTGTGAGCTCGAGGACCTCGGGGCAGTAGATGGGGCGGCGGGCGCTGACGATCAAAGTGTTGTCTCTGATGCTGCCGTACTGCTGCTCAAACGAGTCCCTGCATATAATGTGTGTGCGGTATACATATATATTTATACATATATATTTATATATATTTTTATATTTATATATTTATATAAATATAAATATGTATATATATATGAAGAGCAAAAAACAAACAAAAACGAACAAAAACGAACAAAAACAAAAGCACAATGGCATGAGGCCACGGCCACTCAACCACACTTCCCTCCGCCTCCTCTCTCCACACTTCCACTCCCATCTCGCTCACCTCTCTGCATCGCGCACCAGCGCACATGCGACCGCACCAGTGTTCCCCGGGCGAGTTGGTGCGGTGCGAGTGAGATAAGACACCCACATGCTGCCGTTCAAACACCTGCCCATGCCCCACTTGCTCCCTTGCCCCGGTTTGCCCATCACAGAAATCACACCTGAAAGAGTCTGACGCATGGGAGGGAACGAATTCGAATCACTATATACAGTGAAGAATGAAGAGAGGAGACTGATATTTAATAACCCACCCATGTCCCACTTGCCCACCCGCCCATGTCCCACTTGCCCACCCGCCCATGTCCCACTTGCCCACCCGCCCATGTCCCACTTGCCCACCCGCCCATGTCCCACTTGCGCACCCACCCTGGCTTGCCCACCACATGAATCAGCCCTGAGTGTGCGGAATGGGAGGGAAGTGGGGTCAAATATCTATTCAGTTCACAGTGAGCACTTCCCAGCGGAAACTCCTTCTATCGTTCAAACACCTGCCCATGTCCCACTTGCCCGGCCCACACGCATCTGGCCAGCATGGGCCAACACGAACCAGCATGGGCCAACACGAACAAGCATGGGCCAACACGAACCAGCATGGGCCAACACGAACCAGCATGGGCCAACACGAACCAGCATGGGCCAACACAAACAAGCATGGGCCAACACGAACCAGCATGGGCCAACACGAACCAGCATGGGCCAACACGAACCAGCATGGGCCAACACGAACCAGCATGGGCCAACACGAACCAGCATGGGCCAACACGAACCAGCATGGCCAGCACGAACCAGCATGGGCCAACACGAACCAGCATGGCCAGCACGAACCAGCATGGGCCAACACGAACCAGCATGGCCAGCACAAAACAGCATGAGATGATGAGGGCATGAGATGGTGAGGGCATGCGGACAAGCGAGCATGAGAACATGGGCATGAGGGCATGAGGGCATGAGCGCATGAGCGCATGAGGGCATGAGCGCATGAGGGCATGAGCGCATGAGCGCATGAGTGCATGAGGGCATGAGAGCATGAGGGCATGAGAGCATGAGGGCATGAGAGCATGAACGCATGAGGGCATGAGAGCATGAGTGCATGAGGGCATGAGGGCATGAGAGCAGCACACCAACACAGCTCACCTGCATCTGACCAGCATGGGTGAGCAGGGCCACTCCAGCCTCACTTGCATGAGGGTATGAGAGCATGCGGGCAGCACCCATACACCAGGTAAGAATGCTGACAAAAAACCACCCAGCCTTACCTAGGTTCGGCATCAACCCACTCCAACCTCACCTGCATCTGCCCAGCATGGGCCAGCACGAGCTGCTGCAACGTGAGGGCGCGCTCCTTGCACCACACTCCCAGCGCCTCCTCCCGGTGATCCTCGTACTGCGAGTGCCTCCAGTAGAGCAGCCATGCTGCTATCACTGCGCCACATGCCACCCACACGACCACCAGCAGCGTGAACAGGGACGCTGGGAGAGAGAGAGAGAGAGTGAGAGAAGGGCCGTGTGGGGAAGAAGGGAGATCTGATAAGTGTGGCGCCGGCCGCAACCAGACCATATGCGGCATGCCACCCACACGACCACCAGCAGCGTGAACAGGGACGCTGGGAGGAGACAAGGGGATGGATGGGGGGCGAAGAAGGAAAAAAGAGCTCTCGTGCTGCTTGTGCCTGTCCCACAGCACCGCAGTCATGCTGCTATGAGAGCGCCGCATGGCACCCACACGACCACCCACAAGGGCCGTTTGGGGAAGAAGGGAAATCTGATAAGCGTGGGGCTGGCCGCAACAGCACCTTGACGAAGGAAGCTGGGAGAGAGAGGGGAGGGGGAGGGGAGGGGAGAGGGGAGGGGGAGGGGAGGGGAGAGGGGAGGGGGAGGGGAGGGGAGAGGGGAGGGGGAGGGGAGGGGGAGGGGAGGGGGAGGGGAGGGGGAGGGGAGGGGGAGGGGAGAAGGGCCGTTTGGAGGAGGAAGATGTGATAATTCAGGGCCAGCCCGCAACCAGAGCACATGACCGCAATTTGACCAGATCATGAGATCCCTCGGCATGAGATAGCCATGTTAGACATGAAAAGGGCATGATAGGCATGTGATAGGCATGTGATAGGCATGTGATAGGCATGTGATAGGCATGTGATAGGCATGAGATGGGCATGTGATAGGCATGAGATGGGCATGAGATGGGCATGAGATGGGCATGAGATGGGCATGAGATGGGCATGAGATGGGCGTGAGATGGGCATGAGATGGGCATGAGATGGGCATGAGATGGGCATGTAATAGGCATCTGATAGGCATAGGCATGAGATGGGCATGCAGGTACGAGATTCAAGGGATCGGCATGAGGTTCCTAGGCATGAGATTCCCAGGCATGAGATGAGATCCTAGTACCAGGCATAGTCATCTCATGCCTGGGATTCCTAGTCATAACCATGTAATCCCAGGCATGCGATGCGTTTAATACTCGTACCAGGGTCTGAGAAGGATGGAAGAGGCAGAAAAAGAGGGTCTGAGAGGGGACGACGGCCCAGAGGAGACGTGGAAGAGAGGGAAACGACTTCTGAGGCGCCTCAAGGCGCCTCAAATGTGAGAGAGGGGACGGCGACTTCCGGAGGAGATGTGGAGGACTCTCCCACATCTCTCTCTCGAAGAGGGAGGATTCAATCCTCGGACATTGTCACTTTAGATCTTAGGAGGTTGAAGATCCGATTTTTAATGTCATTCGTCCTACAGATTTTCACGGAAGATTGGTCGACGAGGTTTTTTATCCTCGGATTCCTGGTATAGGGCATAAAAGCTCTCTTTCCTCTCATCGTTACCCTGGAATAGCACCGAGGAGCAACCGATGGGATCTCCCGCCGCTGTGTCTTGATCCTTAGCTTCCTCCGCCTGTTTCTGCTTCAAACAACTCGGAACATGCCTGCTCCAACCGCCGCTTTGCGCTTTCGGCGTCATTCAAAGCTGCTTGTACCGTGACAGCTATACTACCCGAGTCGCCACGATTTTCCCTGTGGGATCGCCAGCGGCCGCGTTTTCCGACGCAAAAATCAATAGCAGCAGATCAGTTCATGATTCAGCGTCACGTAGGTATATGGAGTGGTTGCTTAGGTCATTGTGTCAGCCATCAAGGTTCAACGTCGCCTGGTTAGACTTGATTATCTGCTTTCTAAAGACGAGGGCCTCAGCCAACCAGCCAAATCTGGACGAGAAAACAATTGCTTGCACACAACAATCACACTGTGAACCAACTCCTTTTCTCTGAGAGGAGGAGTGCCATGCCAATTGCTCAGATGATTCTGGGCTTGTACACATTCATTTTCCAGCTGGAATGAAGATTTGAGGTGCCCACAGGTGGGTTCCCCGAGTAGATTGTGACGAAAATCCAGAAATCTCAGAGCTGTCTCGTCAAATTCGAGCATTTCTCCGAGCACATTCAGCGTTTCCAAAAGCGTCTCCGAGTACCCTTTGGCTTCCCAGACTCCACGCCAAATCTACCAAGTCCTCCCCATTTTCCTTCACTGCTGTGGGTGGTGGGGGGAGGGACGGTGGGGTGGGGAGGAGTGCGGGATGGGTTGCGAGGTTTGCGATGGATTTGCTTCTGGAATGAAGCTTCAGACTACTGAACCAGGGAGCGTGATGGGAACTCGTGAAACAGGAAATCTCGTGTCTAACCCTTAGTTTTCGCAGAAGCTGTTTGAACTTGGGGCTATGACCTTGTTGCGTCCGCGCCGGCAAAATGAAGGACAAGCAAGCCTCAGTTCTGCTCGCCGCCGCTGTTGCAAACACTGTATCTTTCTGTCTCAGTTCTGTTCGCCGCCACTGTTCTACAACCCCGCTCAGGGCAATACTTTTCTGCAAGTGGGAGAAAGTGGCGTGAGGCGGGGTGAGGCCAGAATCAGCTGGTTTCAAAAATCATCAGCACTCACTTGGGTAAGTAGCTTTGGCAGGGGTACTACTAGCGACCCTGCGCTTTGAAGGAGACTACATGCCCAGTAGCGGGCACTTTCCACCCCTCCGCGCCTCAGACAGGGAAGACCTCGCCCGAATCCCTCCGGGAAAACCCGTTCGCCCCTGCGGGTTTTCCTCGGAGGGATTTCCGTTTTCCCGCCGTCGCCTAGCGAAGCACGCGAGGGGCGGGAGCCAGCCCACCCGCCCGCCCGAAACGAGCCACGCCAGCTCGGAGTGACGCGAGGTGGTCCTCGCTCGAGCTGGCGTTGACCCCACGTGCTCCCCCCGGTCTGCACCAACCCCGCCTGCACCAACCCCCCTGTCCGTCGAGTAAATCCGCCTCCGTCGACGGATTTCGTCTCGACCCGACGGAAAGTGGTGCAGAGAAAAGCGCGGCAGAACGCGCCACAGACCAGCTGACACTGAAATAAAAGCGTATACCTAAACAAATAAATACATAAACTGCAATGGGCAAACTTGATAAGGAATAGGAGGCACAAAAAAAGGGGGCATTCCCGACAATTCTCATTAATACGTAATCATCAATTTTAATCTTATTCATGCGCAGGTGCCAGGTAGAACACATGTCGATGGTCTCGCTCGCTACCCGTGCGCCGTAGAGCAAGTGAATATGAACTTAATGAGAATGCATTCTTGTACCACTGGGCCCAGCTTTTCTAGCACGCTGCAGGGACCGACTCAACCGAGTACGAAGACGAGGGTTCAGGCGTTACTTTCACCGACCAGCTCGGCGCTGCTTGGTCGAACAGCATTCGCCGAGACCAGCTCGCCGAGCGCAGCACGCCGAGCAGTGCCCATGGAAGGGTTTCGTCGACCACGAATGTGCATTAGCAATGCACGTCGGCGTCGTCGACTGGATCCCGTCGAGCAGAGCCTGCGACAGCATTTTTGTCGTCGACCGTCCCGTCGTCGACATAAAACGAAGTGTTGTCGAAGAGAGTTTGAAAACCAATCACTGCCATAGGTGAACCACCAACCTTTTCAGGTAGTGTAAAAATCATACAATTTGGAAAGCTATAGTTTGTTGAATATGATGTTTTTTTTCTATATTTATTACATAGACAAATATGGTCTGCTCGACGGGGTAATAAAATGCAGCTGCCAAACTCTACTGCAACAATAACATTGCTTGTGTCGATTGTCCACGTTCACGATATGTATTAACGTATAGTAAAACTCGAGCATTGTTGATTAGTTATGTGATAATGAGTCTCGATGCTACAAAGAGAAGTGAAACAAGGTGCTGGCGGCGATAGATATGCTTGGTCGATTGAAATAAACTTCTCGACCGCTTTGCTCTGTCTGTCGAAATCTTTCGTTTTGACAACTGGGAATAATGCGCAGCTCGACAATTTCTGCGTCGAATGCAGATGCTGACTTGCCAAAATCTAGAAACGGTTTCTGCTGTCGATAATCTGTCAAACATTATATGTTTGTGTGGTTCTAGGCTGTAGTGGGTCACACCATAAGGGGTACACCAGATTAGGGTTTGACATATTTGTACTGTTGTTCCTGCTAGTCACCTCTCATTCTCGTTTCTCATTCTGACATGGTATTACGAGCCTAGGTTCCACCTAGGACCGAAACGATAGGGCCCACCGTTTCCGCTAGCCGCGCCCTCGTGCGCCGCCGTTCTTTTTCCTGCGCCTCGAGCGCCTCCTTCTCAAGGCCCCGTATGGCCCCGCGCTAGCCTCTCACGGCCCCCGATCGGCCCCGCGCTAACCTCCTAAGGCCCCCGTCGGCCCCACGCTAGCCCCGCGCTAGCCTCCTAAGCCCCCGTCGGCCCCACGCTAGCCCCGTGCTAGCCTCCTAAGGCCCCCGATCGGCCCCGCGCTAGCCTCCTAAGGCCCCCGTCGGCCCCGCGCTAGCCTCCTAAGCCCCCGTCGGCCCCACGCTAGCCCCGCGGTACTCACGGTACTGCAGCCTCCGGCGGGGTGAGTCTCGGGCTCGTGGTGCTGCTGGAGTTGGTACTCGTGTTTCCACACCACGGCGGGAGCCGCCCTCTTCCCCTCAGCTTCGAGAGTGGTACGCTCGGCACATCAGTCTCCGTAGTGGAGCTGCTGGTGCTGGGGTCCCCGGAGTTGACGCTGCTGCGAGTGCTACGGACCCTGGTGCTGGAGGTGCTGCTGCTGCTGGCGGTGCTGCTGGAGGTGCTGCTGCTGCTGGCGGTGCTGCTGGAGGTGCTGCTAGTACTGAGGACCCGGGCGTTGGAGCTGCTGTGGGTGCTACGGACCCTGGTGCTGGAGGTGCAGCTGCTGCTGGCGGTGCTGCTGGAGGTACTGCTGCTGCTGGCGGTGCTGCTGGAGGTGCTGCTGCTGCTGGCGGTGCTGCTGGAGGTGCTGCGGACCCTGGTGCTGGAGGTGCTGCTGCTTCTGGAGGTGCTGCTGCTGCCGCTGGTGTCTCTGCTGGTTCGAGAGCTGCTGCACGGCCACGACCGTACTTCGTTCCGCTCCTTCAGCAGGTTCTTGGTCAGCCTCCTCCTCCTTGTTCTCCTCTCGCCTTAG